GAACAACACACAGGACCAGAGGACGTAACAGGTATTCATCACAGTCCGACTGCCCAGGAACTGATGTTTCTTTCTGTTCTTCGCTTTCTTTTTTTTTTTTTGTTTTAGGACAGGGTCTCACTTTGTTGCCCAGGTAGAGTGGTGCCTGGCGTCAGCCTACGCTCACAGCAACCTCAAACATCCTGGTCAAGCTGGTCCTGCTGTCTCAGGCTCCCGAGTAGCTGGGATACAGGCATGGCCACCATGCCGTAATTTTTCTAGTATATATTTGTTGCGCCAAATTAATTTTCTATTTATTATATAGAGCACGGGTCTCGCTTTGGCTCAGGCTGGTTTCGACTCCTGACCTCGAGCAATCCGCCCGCCTCGCCTCCCAGCGTGTAGGGATTACAGCGCTGAAGCCACGGGCGGCCTGGCCCATGATGTTTCTTTTTTTAAAATGTTTTTTAACATCGAGTGTGGACTGCCCACGTATGTCCTGACAGGGGGAGGAGGTCACCAGGTAGAGGCCCTCGTGGGCTGGCTCCCACTACAACAGGTTCCTTGCTGCTCTCTGGACCCTCGTCAAAGCAGCTGAAAGTTTGGCCGTGCTAGGTATGAGGGGCCTTACAGGAACCATCAAGATGAGGGGGGCCCCAGAAGAGCCATGCGATTAAAAATGACATGTCGTTGTTTCTCTGAAAACACCCCCGCTTTTAAACTCCTTCCGTGGTCTTTTTTACACATGCTTCGACTATTCTCCAATGAAAGGCCAAAAATATTTGCCTTACTGGAAAGCTGGGATAAGGAGCCCGGAGTATTCAGCTGTTTCACTGGCCTTTGTGGTGACGTAGCTAACTTACTTTTAAGGTGAGTGGTGGGGGAGGGAGATAGCTCCATACTGTTCAGATCGTTTTTCCTTACAGAGTCTTAGCAGATAATGTTTGAAGTCGTAAAAATTACATTTTTCACTAGGTCTGCAGTGTGCTCACTGTCTACTTACTACATATTCATAGTCTCTTAACTCCTGTAGGACTTGAACAAAAGAACCATGCTCAGGAATTCTGTGAAAAACAAGCTCCTGAATACATGTATGAAACGAGAATAGAACAAGGAGTTGAGGGTTTGCTTGTTTTCGTGGTCCCTGGCTGGCTACCCCTACCCTCCTCGAGTCGGAGACCAGGGCCCATCCTTAGATCATCTCAGTCACACCGCTCTGGGTCCCCTTGAATCCTAGATAGCGAGTGTTGGAAAAGCTGATGGTCGAGCGGATCTCCGCAGACGAGGACGGGTTGCGCTGAACCGCCTGCAGCAGCAATCAGCCTGAGGAGAAGCACGAGGGAGAGAACACGACAGGTACAAACCGCCCACCTGCCGGTTACCACACTGAAACCCAGAGGCTGCACTCCCTAGAAGTATTGCATTACTATGGGCGATATCATTGCCATAACCTTGAAATATGAGGGTAATAGGAAAGAGCTTGTAGTCCTGTTGTGGTTGTGCTGGAATATGGTGGCAGCTAGTGGAGACTGAACGCAGCTGGGGAACAATCTCTGTCCGAACATTCCAAGGTCCTGCGAGTTGGTGGATTCTTCCCTCAGGAGTTACGCTGCCTAACAAGGACCAGAGACATGGGATGAGTACCTGTGAGTGAGAGAACTCATGCTTCTTAAGCAGACCAGAAGTGCTGGTTTGAAGATTTGGCGTGGCTCTATTGGAGGTGAAGGTACTCTAAGTCACCTTAATGGAGAATTATAGAACTCTCTGCTTGGATGCCTGCTGTGGCCTATGGGAGATGGATATCCACAATTTTGTATTTCGCAAGATGTCCTCAACTATCATAAATTGAAAGGTCCATCTTTTGATGCTTTACTTCACAACATCATATCACAATTCACTTGATTCTTTTGTGTTACTAATATGGTGGTGTGTGTATTTTCAGACATCCTTGGTGGATGAATTAAAAACCTGGTGCATGTAAAGTTCAAGAATCTGGAGCTGAAGCTTTCTGGAGATTCTAGAGCTCAGGGCTAATCCACACATCTACTTGCGAGTCATCCACAGGTAACCCCACAGTACAGGAGAGACTTCGGGTCCAAGAGTAACATGACCCCATGATCTTGTTCTCTCTTATGTCTGAGGGCAGTCCGGATTGTAGGAGTACACTTTGTAAGGGGAAAGGACCATGTGTTGCTCACACTGTGTAACCCAGCCCTATACAGTAAGTAAGCATCTTGTTTAAGTGTCGTAAATATATTTTGACAGGAGATAAAAGAATTGTTGATCGGTGATAAATTGTCGTTGGTTACACTGTTGATGGTGTCAGGGTGACCCCATAAGATGGAAGGTGATGAGTGACCATCTCTTCGCAGAGCCCTCACCCTCTGCCTTTTGTGCATTTTACCCCTTCTTGTCCTCCCTAGTCAGCCGTTTACCTTGTCAACATACAAACCTCATTAAACAGCAGGTTTCACTATTGAAATGCCACAGGTGGCCTACATAAGAAATGCTTCAAGCAAAAGCATCTTTTACGTTAGACAGTGACTACACTCAGTGATTAATTTGTGAGAACATTCAGAACCTTGGGTAATTAGGCTTGCAGATGAGGGATTTTGATATGCGTAAGTGTTTAAGGTTACCACAGGCACAAGGCCGTCTCCATGAACACGTTTTTATTCTTGTGCCAAGACACTGGGAAACTCCCTGGGCAGATTTCATGCAGGACTAGTCCTGCTCATCCTGGAGCTCTGGGTGTGGGGAGGAGGATCCTCCTTGCAAACTGGAGCAGGGGCAGGCCACTGTACACTGAGGCTGTGGTGGTGGATTGGCCCAGAAATTGACAACGGGGATATTCATTCTCGTAGATAAATGTCAGTTCTGCGTTGAGACACTCAACGCAGGAGTGTTGCATCCGTTAGACTGGTGTAACTCTACATGAGCATGTGTCATCCGTAGGCTTGCAGAAATGGGGACCAGAGCCTCTCTGGTAGTTGAGGCAGACTGAAGGAAAGGCCAGGACTGTTCTGGCGTTAGGGTTGGCACCCGTGTGGCTAGCACAGAATTCATGAAAACCCTGATAAAGCAAATGATTCAGGGAGATGAAGTGGAAGGGGTAGGACAGAAAGGTGAGTGAAAACCACAGAGGGGAGGTTACATACGTTGGGTGGTTGGGAAAGCTGGTTGGTTTACAGGGTTCCTGCAGACTCTCAAACGGCTCACGCCAACCCACAGCCACTGTTGCTGTGCGAATGGTGGATTGCTCTGATTTGTTTTCCTTCTGAGAACCAGGTGTGGGCATCAGTCAGTGGCGATGCAGGTCGTGGCGGTTTCTGGACGCTCTCAGGTGGTCAGGCCAAGGAAAAGGCTGCAACGCCACTGCTCCCACAGATCCAGCAGGAGCTGTCGTCTCTGACTGCATCTGGCTCCCGTCTGAGGAACGTCAAGGTCCAGACAGCCTCGCTGCCCTTGAAACGAGGAGCACAGTGTGATCAGGCCTGGGCCTGGTCAGACAGAGGCCACCCCAGAACCTAAGAGTCTGGGAAAAGTGGCAGACAAGGCATCGAGCGCAGCCGCAGCCAGGCAGCCCTCGTGGCAGCCGCACCGCAGCAGGCAGTGAGCAGACTGCCCCTCACCTCGGGACACCTCCCAAGCTCTGGAGCTTTACCAGATTTTTCGAGGCTGTTTCCTACCCAGATGGAAAAGTGGTACGAAAGGACGATGGAGGAAGCACGAAGCCAAGCACGTCAGAAAAGGCCCAGCAAGACAAGGTACACTGAAGGAACACATTAAAAGTTTAGAACGAGAACTTGCTATAACTAAGACGGAGGTTACAGAAGGAAATTACACCTGAAGTCGGAAGAAGTCTTGAGATTTCTGATGTTGCAACTGTAGAGATAGTATGTCCACGTGATTGATTATTGTGTACATAGCAGACTTGCCTATAAAAAAAAAAATCACTGATTTCTAAAATGTGCCAGATACATGTTCCTATGCCCTGAAGTTATGGAGACTTCAACAATTACTGGAGACTAGGGGAAGCTTGCTTATTTCAGTTTCATTACAACTCTTAAACTTCAGTCCAGGTTCATCTGAAGTTCAAAAGTCACGATTAAGCCAAACCGCTCTAAGAAATGAAGATGCTGTAAGCCGAAAAACCCCAAAATCAGGATGTATGAAAATATAAGTCAAAATCAGCAAAAATCAAGCCCTTTGGAACTCCAGTAGTTCATTCAAATAATGTGAACTCACCTGCTGTGCCTAGACAAGTGTCTTTCTGCTAAGAGAGCTGTAACTCTGAGATGTGCTAAACCCTTTCTCAAATTCGTTTAAAATCATTTTTCTTTTTTTATCTTTTGCTTAAAAATGCTGACATTTTAAACAGGTGAAAACTTAACAGATTTTGAGGAGAAAGTTTTCATGATGTCACAAAAATACACTATCTGTGTTTTTCTGTGAACTGCTTTCCTCCTGTTTTTTAGGATTGGCCTACTCTTCCATCTCCTCATCCTCTTCCTACCGGTAGCTATTTCAGGAGACGCTGTGTTCACAGGTCAAGGTTGATTGGCTCAGGCTTGAGCACTCATGACAGCTAAGATTTTGCATCCCAATCTTTTACCTTCCTTGAGCTAAAGCAAGGTCCTTGAGATATCCCAGCATTCATCTAACACTTTCCTCTTTGGGCTTAGGCTAGCTGAAATGGGTTTTTAATACAGGAAGCAGTCTTAATTAATACATTGTGGACCAAAGAGAAGATTTTTTAAATAGGCTTTCTACAAAATTCAGATAGCAAATAAACCTCAAAAAGTTTCAACTTTTAGTGGGCGAAGTGGCTCACACCTGTAATCCTAGCACTCTGGGAGGCCAAGGCAGGAGGGTCACTTGAGCTCAAGAGTTCGAGACCAGCCTGAACAAGAGTGAGACCCTATCTATACAAAATATAGAAAAATTAACCAGGTGTGGTGTAGAGCACCTGTAGTCCCAGCTACTCAGGAGGCCGAGGCAGGAGAATCAGTGGAGCCCAAGGGTGGGGTTGCAGTGAGCTATGACGATACGACTGCACTCTAGCTAGGAAGACAGAGTGAGACTCTGTCTCAAAACAAAACAAAACAAAAAAGGATCAACTTCACTATAGTAAACAAGGAAATAAAACTTGAACAGTAATATATCCTTAATATGGCAAAAACTTTTTTAAAATGATAATACTAAATGATGGCAAAGGTTTAAGACAGAAACTCAGACACTGCTGCTAGGATATAAATTGGTACAACTTTCCTATTTAGTAATTTGCCAATATTTATCAAGAGCCTTAAACATATAGCTTTGGACTAATTCTAATTCTGAATAATCTGAGGAGTCAAAAGTTTATGCATATAAATGTTCATCATAGCATTATTTGTAAGAGTAAAAAACTATAAGCAACTTTAAAATTCTAACAATTATTAGAATTGTTCAATTATGTTGTATATAATTTGCTGGAATATTATGAAACCAAGGACAGGGGAAAATACTCATGACATAAAATTAAGTAAAAAAGCAGAAGCAAAATACTATTCTCTACACATAGGAAGAGTACACCACCATTAAGAAGTACACAGGCTGGCACAGTGGCTCACGCCTGTAATCCCAACACTTTAGAAGGCTGAGGGGGGGAAGATCGCTTGAGGCCACAAGTTTGAGACCAGTCAACATAGTGAGATCTTGTCTCTACAAAAAATTTTAAAAATTAGCCAGGCATGGTGGTGTGTGCCTATGTAGTCCTAACTACTAGAGAGGCTGAGCCAGAAGAATTGCTTGAGCCCAGGAGTTTGAGGCTGCAGTGAACTATGATCACACTACTGCACTCCAGCTTAGGTGTCTGAGCGAGAACTTATCTCTTAAAAAAATAAGATAAAGTACATTGTATCTCTACATGTCTAAGTTATATTGCTAGATGAAAATGCAAGCTACAAAAAAAACCCCTCAAATCACAGCATAGTTCTACTTTTGCTTAAATGGAAGAGATCTCTCGGGAAAGTCAACTGATGATACTATTGTACATGGGGTGTTTCACCAAAAGCAACGTTATTTTAAGTATTTTTTATAGTTTAAAATACTATTCAATCTACATTTTACTAATTAAAAGATGGAAAATTACCTTTACAATGGAGGATAATGCGTTACCAACTTAGCCAAATGCTCAAATCGTACATATAATGAGACATTCTGCCTCCCGATGTGAGATTAATTGAAGTTTACACCATTATTATCTTTTTTTTGAAAACATTAGTCTGGCTCTACGCCTTAGGCTGGAGTGCAATGGCGCAACCACAGTCAACTGGCGCCTCATAACTCTAGGCTCAATAGCAATCATCGACCCTCACTCCTCAGTGGCACGGACTACCACATGCCACTACATTCGGAATTTTAATTGTTCTGTTAGACAGGTCTAGTACATTGCCGGTGTTTGAACTTGCTGGACTTTATACGATCCTCCGAGTCAGCCTCCCAACGCCGCCTATGAAAATATTCCTTATCAAAATATTTAACTCTGAGCCTAACCACACAATCTAGCAGTAGTTTCCAACCTTATACACGACCAGCATCTCCTGGAGTCTATTAAAAAACAGGTGAGTGGCCATCCCCAGGTTTTATATTTATTCACAGTTTAAATTCAGTAGATCTGGAAATGGCCCACCAATTGCCTTTTCCTCCTCCCCACAGCACAGGTGATTGATGCTGCTGGGTCCAGGGACCACACTTTAGTATACATCAGGCTAACTTTCAGTTACAGACACAGGGATAAAGGAACAAGTTAAATAACACCATGAAAAACTATCAGACACATCTAGTAAACATGTCATAAAACTAGCCTGGATACTTTAATAAGTATAGTATCAGCCAGACATGGCAGTGTGTGCCGTGGTCCCAGCACGGTTGGGAGGCTGAGAAGGAATCACTGTAGCCCAGGCGTCAAGGCAGCCTTGGACATGAGCAAGATAATCCAACTTTAAAAAGCAAAGAAACTGGGCTAAAAAAGTTAGCATCATAGGCTGGACACGGTGGCTCATGCCTGTAATCCTTAGCACTCTGGGAGGCCGAGGAGGTGGATCGATTGGAGGTCAGCGAGTTCAAACAGCCTGAGCAAGAGCAAGACCCCGTCTCTACTAAAATAGAAAGAATTAATTGGCCACTAAAATTATATAGAAAAATTAGCCAGGCATAGTGGCACATGCCTGTAGTCCCGCTACTCGGGAGGCTGAGGCAGGAGGATTGCTTGAGCCCAGGAGTTTGAGTTGCTATGAGCTAGGCTGACACCTGGCACTCTATTCCCGGGGACAGAGTGTGAAACTGTCTCAAAAAAAAAAAAGTTCAATATCATGGGGGTGAAGGTGTAGCCTAGACTAGGCTGTTCTAGATAAAACCAACAGTCAAATGCACAAAAGTGAACCTTCATTGGATCTTGGAGTGGATCAAAAACAAAAATAAGCGATAAAAAAAAAATTAGGACATTGAGAAAATCTGAATAAGAACCGGATATTATGCAATTATTGATTTCAGATGTGATAATGGTGTTGTGTTACAAAGGGAGAAAGTCATTATTCTAACTCTAAGCACTCTGTAGAGGTTCCCTGTCAAGAGCAGTTTGCAACTAATCTCAAACAGTCAAGAAAAAAACAAAGTGTGTGAAACAGACAAAGCAAATGCAGCAACATTTAACAACTGGTGAATCTAGGTGAGTGCATACAAGCACTCATTACATTATCCTTATGTTTAACAAATTAAAAAGTTGGGAAAAGAAAAAAACTATAGACATGGTTATTCTAATTTTATGTGATGGGCAAGGGGTATAGGAACATCACATATAAAAAAGACTGCAAAAAAATATGCCCCAATATTAATAGTGCTTTTTCATCACAGTGGTTACAGGCGATTTATTCCTTCTAACTTTTTTATTTTTAAAATGGATATCTTACTTTATAATCAGAAGCAATTTAAGCATGTTCAAAAAAAAACACTTTAACAAAATTACATAAGAGACCTCTTCCTGACAGCCACTGGACACCCTCGGGGCGGAAGGAGTGCTAAAGCCAGTTTCTACCCAAGCTCACGCTCTGCCAGACGCCTTGCAGTTGGAAGGCTGGGCTGTACGACTTACTTGGTGCTGGGTCTTATTCTCCATGTGCCCCAGCTTTGTGTTCATTTATCCTGAACCGACCCAGCTCTGCTTTGATCTCCTCCACAGTGCTCCAGCTGGTTCTCCAGCTTGTTGATCAGAGGTTCACATCTGCAACCATTGATTGGGCCTGGAGAGGAAACAGAAAAGGAGTCAATCCCTCGTTTTCCTTTACAATCATGTTTCAACACCTACTACGTGTTTCCCCGAAAATAAGACAGGGTCTTATATTATTTTCCTCAAGAAGACACCCTAGGGCTTTTTTCAGGGGATGTGTTATTTTTTTTAAGTACGGTACAACAATCTACATTTATTCAAATATAGTTGTCTTCTTCTGGATCATCATCATAACTCTCCAAACCCCGAATTCCATCCTGAATTTTCTGCGACTCTGTTTCCTTTAGAACCATTGGCCCCAATCTCTCATGTCGAGCAATAGAGCTGTCATGGGGCAGATGAGAAGGGCTGCTCGTCTTCTTTACCGCTCCGCGACGAAATGCATGGGTTGTACAGATACGCTGCATTAACCATGCCCATCACTAGGTCTTATTTTTGGGGTAAGGCTTATATTGCATAAATGCTTAGAAATCCTGCTAGGGCTTATTTTATGGGTAGGTCTTATTTTCCGGGAAACATGGTATGTGCCAGGCAGCATACTGGGGAATACGAATGATGGAGGACACAGACTCACCCCTGTTATAACTTTGGAACATCCCAGAGGCCAAGCTTTGGGTACAGCAGGCAAGGCCCAGATAAGATTCAAAGGGTAAGATAGGTCCCCATCCTTAAGATGCTTTTATCCACTCTGGGGCCTCAAGATATCTAGTCACCTAAGGATGGTACAGAAGGCTGTGCCTGTACCTGTTTGCCTTGGCCCTAGCAGCAGGAGCCCATCTGCCTGGTTTGCGGGGGAGGCCATCTGGCTCAAAGCCCGTGCTTTCCTAACACCTAAAGTGGCTAACAGCCCCAGGAGAAGTGTGAAGCAGACAGCCCTGCTGAAGGGCTGCGCTCCTGTCTCCCGACAGGTACCTGCATCACCTTCCCGTCCTTGCCCCGGTACAGCGTGTAGAGCTGGTACGCTCTGAACTCGTGGGGTGGGGGCGGGGATGAACACCGATGCCTGGGCCTCTTTTTCGGGTGATTATGAGCGTGCAAGTTCTTCTGGTGTCCGGGCTGTTGGTCTGCTGGTGGGGTGGGGTCAGAAAATGCTGACACCTGTGGGGAAGAGGAAGAGAGCACACACCCCTGAGCCCCGTGACATCTGCAAGAGTGACACCAGCCAACGGCTCCCATCTCACCCACTTTTGGGCAAAGAATCCCACTTTGCTTTGCCTCACAGTGTTCCACTCCAAGCAACATATGTCAAAAGAAACATATCAGCATGCTAACCTCTTATCTGATGTTAGCTAGATTTCATTTCTGTGCTCTGGCTACAAACCAGAAAGCCAAGCAAAATGGCTTTTTAGCTGCTGGGTTGTGATGAAATCGATATACCAGGGCCCTCTGCCACCCTGTCTCCCAGCCACCCTCTCAGCTGCCTCCTGACCTTGGGCCTTGACTTTCTCCTCCTGTCATCCTTTGCTTTGGGCTCTGGGGACGCTGACAGATAATCTTCTCTGGTCTCCTCTTTTCTGAGCACAGCCTGCTCGCTGCTGGGGGTGTCTCCTGCCGAGACACTGCCCTACAAAGAGAAAAAGCCCAGAAGCTTGTTCTACTTCATCCTTCAGCCTTTTTCACTAATAGGGTGAAATTGCAAGACTTCATCTATTAAGGGGCCCATGGGAATCTTTGCCAATGACAGATTCAGACATGGAGCATTGCTTGGTGGTCTTAACTAAACATATGATGCTTTTCCTGGTTGGTTGAATATTTGGCTTTCATTTTATTTATTAGGTCACAAGCTCAATATATCCTTGGGTCTAATTCTATATTCCAGAACTCCAGGAACATACCACACACAAAACACCTCAGCATTAGAGACTGTTGGTCTTTTGCATTTCACCAAAACCTAACCAACTCATTCGTTGAACTTGGACCACCCTCCCCACCACAATTAGACGAGTAAGAACTCTCTAAAATGAAAACAATATCACATTTCTGGTCCTTGTGAGAACTTTTACAACTTTTATGTACAATTCACACGTATAAACTTAATCAGAATTACAATGCCTTAATCCTGGAAATTAATTTTGAAATAGCAGATAGAAGAGCAAGTAATTGGTGATGCATTTTATATGCCAAAAGTTGTCTCTATATCCTAGTCTTCTTTCTCCTGAGAGCTGAAAAGGCTTGTTTCATTCCAAGACTACCATGTACAGTTGTACAAGCTGTTCACTGCACAAGGGCTCCTAGCTGAGGGGGTGAGTGGGTCATGAGAAGCTGAAATCATCTCAGGCTCTATTTACCATGTGTGCCCTGTGCCAGACTGGTCTACCCAGGGGGTCATCTTTTTCTAACTCGCCCAAGGGAGCCATGTGGGCTACCATATCGTGGTCTATCCCCTAAATGGAAAGGGAGGAAACAACCTATGCCAGTGGTTCTCAAACTCGGGTCCACATCAGAATCACCGGGAGGGCTCATTCAAACACAGGTTGCTGGGCCCCACCCCAGAGTCTCCCACCTAGTAGGTCTGAGGTGAGGCCCAAGAATCTGCATTTCTAACAAGGTCCCAGGTGACACACTGGACACCACACTTTGAGAACCAAGACTCTACACAAGTAAGGGCAGGTGTCAGAGAGACAGTGCCGCCCATATGGCAGGAACAAAGGCCACCGACACCCAGGGCTAGCAGATACGCCCCGCAGGGCGAGGCATGGGGAGTGGGCGATACCCACACCGGCATGTTGTCTGAAACCTTGGAGGAGAGGAGGACGTGAAGCCACAGAGAAAAAGACTGGCAACACTTTGAGGAACCGTGGTGGGAAGGAGAGGCAAGGGGGCACGGCAGCTGCCACGCGGACACAGCCGAAGCAGGGCGCTAGCCTCCCCTCTGCGGGCGGGCAGAGACGGGCGCGGGCGGGAGGACTGCCCCCACCTTGCTCTGTGCCACCTCATCTCTCGGCACAGACTGGGCTCTCCTCTCTTCCTTGAGCCTCTCTCTCTTTTTCCTCAGGCTTCGCCCACGACTGAAGCGCAAGACCTGAGGGAGGCAAATGGCATCGTTACAAACCACCGGTGCGCGCGGGTCGGCATGCCAGGACGCTCCTCAGACCTGCCGGCACCTCCCGCCCCGCGGGAGAGACCACGCTTTCACATCGACCACCTCGGGGCCGCCTGCAGTGTCTCCCGGGTGTTGTGCCGGGCACTCTAGGGACCCAGAGATGGGCAGGACAGTGTCCCTGACCTCAAGAAGCTCGAAGTCCACGATGATGACAACAAGCATTAACGTGCAGGGCCGGGATGCTAAGGCACAGGCTGTGCTCCAGGGAGCACCATTCACCTAAACCAGGCCACGTCGGTGGCCCCCAGAGTTGGGCAGTGTGGCAGCCCTGTGCCAGGCACAGTCTCACTCTCCATCTTGGTACACAGGACCTGAACCAGCCCATCAGATTTTCTCTTGGCCAAACTTCAACCAAGTCATATTCAATTTGAGTCAGACATTATTAAGGTGCATCTGTGAGCCACAGTACGAACTGTGGGGCAGGAATCTCCTCCCCAAAAGGAAGCATCTAGTCTGCCCCTTACAGGGCGGAGCAGTAGAGCGGACACGGACAAGAAATGCACGTGGGTCAGACAGATCCAGGTTTGAACCCAACAGCAGCGGTGGTAGGGTCTTCAGGCAAGTGATGTGAACTGTGTGTGCTCTATATATTCTCAAACGTAAAAACGAGGAGTTGTTGGGATTAACCAAGAAAAAGGAGGTGGCCGGCACACAGAGGAACAAGTCACTGGCAAGCGTGTCTCCTCCTCTCTTCGGGTTGCTTAACTGGCAGAGGATGTTGAACCACAGAGTACAGATCTTTGAGCTGGTGGAAACCTCCAACCTGTGGCCCATACATTTAAGAGGATAAAGAAGTCCTTAGGCCAAAAAGTCCGAGAACCACCGCCCTAAGCCATTTCTAAAGCTAAACTCTGACTTACCAGAAGTCGAGCATGATGAAAGGAAGTTACCAGTACCCCCTGCTCACCTGGTTACAGACTCTCAGGACAGCACAGTGCCAGAATCAGCCTGAAAGTCACTTTCAGAGCATTTGTGAAACAAATCAATGAAAAATGACAAGTGACACTCAGAGGTCACCCAAAACCAAAATAATCAGCAGCAAAATTCCCTCCATTCACTGTGTCATTAGCCAGTGAAAAGAACTTTGCATGGCTTGCAGCCTTTCTCAGCAAACTGTACCATCCACCAAGTGGAACACCATTAATCTCTTCCAGTCCACAGAAAGCTGGGAACAGTGACCTTGAGGGCTTCGAAAGACGTGTCCTCTTAGTACTGCTGTGGCCCATTAAAACCCATGTCCAACTAAGGGCCTAAGGCAAGGGGATTTCTCTTTTCAGACAAACGGTAAGGCTATTCCTGTAACTACAGACCATCAGAACAGTATGTATAACATTTTATGCATATCCTAAAGTTCCTTGCTTATTTTGAGAATAAAGTTTAATATGTACAATTATGTGTAATACAAACTTTCATAACATCTCATCCAACTTATTTACTACTCAACATAGGCATAATTTTTTTTTTTAATGGAAACACAAGAGGAGAACTGCACAGGGAAATGGTCCACAGTAAAGCCTTTGCCCTGTAAGTGAAGATCCTTGGGCTCTGGAAGACAAATGACAGATGGATTAAAGACACATCAGTCTTTACGTGCTTGGGGAACTCTCCAGTCCCACAAGACTGGATGATCTCTGTATGGCTGAGGCTGAGTCGGCCTGTCATTAAATTGCTGCACACTAAAATGCCAGGTAAATGTGATGGATTGTGACATGTATATGGCACCCTGTACATTTTGATCCATGAGACACCAGCATTTTTCTATTGGGATTCTGCTGCTGGTTCTTCACAAATAGCTGGAGAGGTGGAACCTTCCAGCCCTAGCAGCTTCTCCTACATGACTCCCTCCTGTCAGCAGCTCTGTGGACTTTCGGAGACCACTGGGAAGGACCAGCTCCGTGCTCAAGAGGGTGATCAATTTTGCAAAAGATAAAAATATTAACCATTTCCAGAAACTACTAGTTATACTAGGCATGTTTTTAAAACCCAAATAAAATAATGGCCATGCAAGACTCTGGACTCGGTTGGTGTGGAGCTGAGAGACAGCAGGGTGGGGCTGGAAATCCTCCTTTGACTCCCTGACACTTTGTCGTCGTCTTACAACAGTAGCCAGAATAAGAAAGAAAACCAATCAGTGTTTGCTGTAATGTAATACAGAATAGCTCCGATCTGGAAATAACCTAAATGCCCAACATTAAGGAAATGGTTTAAATAAAATATTGATGGCAACAAAAAAGAATATTATGCTTCCATTATAATGAATAATTATGAACACTGCAGAACACTGTCCTATTATGGTTAGGATACAAGGTAGAATACAAAATAGCATATACATTGTGAGCACAATTATATAAAAATTATGTGTTTGTGAAAGGTAATATGAAGGAAAATAACAGCTGTTTCAGGGTGCTAGAATTATGGATAGCTTATGAATTATCATTATTAAATTTTCTTTATTGTTACTTAGATAGTGTCAACCTCAACTCAAATGGTATCAGCCACCATTTTTTAAAATTGAATGATGGACCAAATACCATTATTCAATAAGAAAGAAAAGAAAACTAGACCATACTTATCTGCCTCTGGTGGACACTGACTGCTTTGTCTGCCCAGAATGGCCCCCTCCCCCTCCTACCTCTCTCTGGGAAAAGCCCTTCTCATCTTCAAGCCGCTGCCCCCTACTGGCTCAGGAGTGGTCATTTGCCCCAAGCTCTTCAATCGTGGTCTTCTCCTGCGATGCTTTAACCTGGAACTTCTCCCCTGGCTCAGTCTCGGGGAAGTCGTGACCCAGGAAGCTGGTTGTGACAATGACCTAGCCCCAGGGAGGCGATGATGCCCACACATGGAGAGCTGGACTAGCAGCTTTGTTTCCCATCGTGCTGGAGGCCTACATGGAGTCCTTGTTGGCCACTGCCTGGCCCAATTCCCTATTCTAGTCAGTTTGAACTGGCTTCAGCAGACTGCAACCAGAGGAGTCCCAACAACTTTGCAGCCCCACGTAACCAATACAAGGGAAAGTGCAGTGAATCCTACCTGCGGAGCTTTAGTGAGGAGAAGAGCAACTTCTGGGTTATTGTGGTAGCGGGCAGTCTCCAGCGGAGTCTGGCCTGCCTAGGAAAGGCACAGGGAGGGCAGGTGAGAAACGGCCATCAACCCTGCACGCGCACAGCCTGGCTGGCACGGCACCCGCCAGGAGTGGGCAATTCCGCACTCCGTCACCCCAGCACCTACGTGTGCTCAGCAAAATACAGCCTTGTATGTGACATGGCCCTGCTTGTCAGCCTCACCCCCTCCAGTGAGGCAGCCAAGTCACACTCAGGGCATGATAATGAAAATACACAGCACCAGAGGGCACGTGCAGACCCAGGTAAGTGCTTTAGGAAGCAAGGTCTGGGGCACTGCCGAGGAATGCCTTCTGGAAGACAGGAGGGAAGGGAATGCTCAGACAGGATCAAGGTAGGACATTTCAGTTGAGGGGAAAAAAAGGATCATGAAATCCAGCCCAGTGAGGACTCTCTTCCCTGGAGAACAGTGAGGAAGGCGCCTGGTCAGGGCCTGACCCTGCTCAGGGGGCAGGTCAGGGCCTGGCCAGAGAGTCTCAGGAGTTGGACTGTGAGAAACAGTTATGAAGCTATGGCCATAACATATGTTCTATGGAGATTAAGCCAAAAAACAAGAGTCAATAACAGTGGATCCAAAAGGAAGGGGAAGGGATTCAAGGCATCATGGAAGAGGCGACTGTGCCCTACCCCAGCCCTTTATGGGTTCTAGAGCTACGAGAAGGCAGGAGGAGGAAGAGGGAACCAGACACAGGAGCCAAGAAGGCCAGAGGCTTTTTGTCAGCTACAACATCCCTGGATGCCCCAGACATGCCACACAGCTGTCCCTTTCAGGAAGGCAGAAACCATGGGGGCAGCCTGGGCTGGTGCCTGCTGTAGGATGTGGGGGACCAAGGAGGACGGGGAAGGGGAGGAAGAGGGAGGTAAGGTGATTTGGAATAGGAAGGAGTGAGAGTTTTGAGCTGACTAATCTGATGGCCATGCCCACTTACAGGCCTGGAACTCACTTTGGGTAACACCCACTTGTCAGTTTGTGTGGACACCTCTGAGCTTCCTTTACAAGGTTGTGCTCACAGCAGCTAGGAGTCTAAGGGGGCTTGTCAACTCCTGGGACTCCTCACAGTGGGGGTCCCCTCAAGTCCTCTCTGAGAGCCCCAGGGGCTCAGTGGAAGGAACTGCTTCCAGAGAGCAGTTGGGCCCTTGGAGTCTGCAGGGGTTCAGGTAGAATCACACACCCCATTCTGGAAAGGGTAGGAATGGCTTTAGAAACCACCGTTGCAGCTCAACTTACATTATTAACAATGGTCCCATCTGCTCCAGCTTCCAGTAAGATTTTAACCACCTTCTTGTGATTTAGGGCAGCAGCAATATGAAGTGCTGTGTCTCCAGCCTGAAATCAATCAGAAGAAAGCCTGCTAAACCCCATCTGCTCATGGCCTACAGCCCTCCAGCTCTTCATCCCTTAGTCTAGGGGTGGCCCTTCAAAGTCAAACTAAGATTTTCCTTAGACTGCTCTGGGGCCCTTTGTTGAAGTGTTCGGTGGTTCTATTGAAAAAGATCTTGGAACTAAATTACCTATGCACCGATATCACATTCCTTTTTGAGTGAAGAGACCAGAAATCACACAATAGGACTAAATGCAGGGGAAAAGTAATGCTCAGCTGGGTTTGTTGAGAATGGTGGGGGCCTGAAGCCTCACAGAGACAGGAGGATGGGCAGGAAGCCTGGGGTAGGCAGCCTCGTCATTCTGGAACTATTGACCTGTTTCTTTGCCCACGGAGGTCAGAGGTCAGAGAACTGCTTGGTGTCTGGTGCTGGATTGAACAGAAGCAGCTGTGGAGATGGCAACTTCTGCACACGGGAGGGGTAGCAGCCCCGCCGTCAGCCGCCAGGGCTAGGGCTGAAGGGGGCGGCATTAAAACCCAATCCATCTGCTGGCTCAGGGTGTCCTTTGTTTGGGTCAAGACACTGAGAATCAGTGTTCACTTAAGATTGTTTTCTACTTCTTACCATACAGCCTATAAACAACCTTTCATATTTTCTTTATACAAAAAAGACATTTTCACATAATCAACTATGAAAGGAGGATACGGACAAGTACAGCTGAGTAGGCCAATTCCAAATGCAAATACTGTCATTTTCCAAACAGAAAGACATAAGTGAACCAGACAAATATAAGTAAAATAATTCATTTTCTCCCCTGTCAGGTGATCAGGAAAAGTACTCTGATACTCTTTGTTTTCCTGGGCAGCACGAAAATTTAGCCATCTCTATAAGTAGCAGGAGAACGTTTATTTCTGAGCCACTTAGCTGTGTGTGTTGGGGGGAAGCTCTCCAGCAGTGGTTCCCAATCTTGGATGCATATTGAAGCCAGCTGGGGAGCTTTAAAAAATACTGACCCCAGCCACAGGCCACTGTCCACTGGGGCGTGTGCCTGCTCCTATCCCCTTTGGAGTGTACTATCGCATGCAGGCATAAAAAAATAAACAAATAAAAAATAAATAAAAAGTACCAATCCCTGGATCCCACCCCCAGATATTCTGATTTCATTGATCTGCCACGTGGGGTGGGGCATGGTGGTTTTTAAAAGCTCCCAGATGATTGTAACACGCTGGCAAGGCTGAGAAGCACTGCTTGGTGGGCTGTGCAGGGGTAACCTGATGAACTAGAATCCACTGGGAAGGCTGTAGAATAACAGACTTAGCTGTTTCATTTGGTCAGTGGACCTCAATCCCGGCTGTACACTAAGTGTTTTTTAAAAAAAAAAATACCTGGAACTCACCCCCAAAGGCTCTGGCACCTTTAAACTGGAGCAGGATCCAGAAGTATTTTTTTTTTAATTCCATATGCAGCCAGGTCAGAGACCACTGTTATAGGGTATATTTTATTTGAATCATGATCTAATTTTTTCTTTTAATTTCAGATTTATGCACCCCAACTCAGAATAGCCAAACAATGTATCACTTAGGTATCAATATATACCAAGGCAATCTATTTTTTAAAATCCAAATGACTACTTAAAAGCATGCACGTTTCCATGGAAGACTGTAATCACAGCTTTATTTCAAAACCCCATCACATGGCATGGCTACAGATTGTGTACCTAATTTTACAGAAATGAGAGACTCTGCTGGCTCAAATAAAAGTAAGTGGCAGTGCAAGGAGCAGAACTCAGGGAGTCATGAGCTCCTGATTCCCTTGCTTCTTTACTAAGCCACACTCTTCCTTGCGGGTTTCCTTTTTAAAGTCATATTTAAAACAAAACCCGCCCCAGGATCTCCACAAAATGTTCGATATGCAAATGTGGTGATATGCATGGGAATGATAAGGTGCTTTCTCTAGGAGGCCAGATAAACCGGGGCCACTAGAGCTCAGTGGGATACCCATGCGAAGGCCAGCGCTGGCGGAGTCCCAGAGGGGTCAGAGGGCAGCAGCCTCTGCTCCCATTTGCACTCACACACCTGCCAGGTGGCCCTGTGGGAGGGTGCTGGCGGCCATGAAGAGGATACATGCACTGACCTGGTTCTTTTCATGGACAGAACAGAAAGCACTGAGGAGCAGCCTAATGATGGACAAGTGATTATAGCGCGCAGCCACGTGCAAACAGGTGTCGCCTGCCTGCGGACAGAAATCAAACTCTAAGCACAGTCTCAACAGTTACAGAACAGAAAAATAGAAACAAAATATCATTTCAAAGCTGGCAATCATATATTCCTTAGGGGATGTTGATCTGAATTATAAGCATCTCTTTTAACATTGACCTTCCACTCCAAGACTTACAGTTCTTTGCTGCTGCGGGCAGCCCTGCTTGTGTTCTGCCTGCACAGAACCACCATGTGGTCAAACAGGCTCTCTGCTTGCATGGTTATGAAACTAGATGTCTGTTCCCCTCCGGACCTTCAGAAGGGGAGAGGTGGGGCAGGTCTGCTTACCCAGCACCCAATACGGCTCCACTGGCCCTGGCCTCCCCTACAACCTGAAGGGGACTGAACTAAGGCCAATAGCTCTGCTTTGGAAATGAGCCTCTCCCAGCACAGATCCATTGTGGCTGAGAGGGCAGGGCAGCAGGGTAAGTTGTCAAATTTTAAGAGCCCATGTGTCTCCCAAAATTCAAGAGCATCCCATTTCAGTAGGACTCCAAAATCCCATATGAAGCAAAGTAGCCTGGGAAGCCGATAAGGAAATAATCATGGGAGCCAAAAAGGACATTCACATAAACTCAGGGTAAGCATCTTCCTTAGCGGGCACGGAATTCTGCTCCCAGAGAGACAACAAAACTAGAGACAGAAAGTCGTGATGTCCTGCAGTGTCCTCCTGACATTTTCATTGTAGCTCTGTCTACAGAATGGTGCCGATTCAGCTCAACTTTCTCCCCTGGACTGAGAAGGAGCCAAGCTCAAAATGCTGAGGTTCAGAACATTCTAGAATAGTCTTAGATGAGTCTGTCTCCAAACAGGGAGACCCCCCCAGCTGAAGCCACTTTTGAGAGAAGCCCCAGATTTTCTTGCCAACGTGGCTAAGGCATGGGATTTGCAAGGACATACAGATTGTTTGTGGAGGAGGGAGGGACACTCCTGCCACCTTTCAGGTCAGCTCGCCCCAAGGATGCCTCAGCAATCGATAGGGCCTGCCCTCTGTAGATGCTGGCGGGGGCGTCATAGACCTCCCCCGTAAATGGCATCATCCCATATTTGCTGACTCTACATGGGTGGAAACTTTCTTAAAACATTTAACAGGCTTCCTAGATTGTCATTGGCCAGACACACACTGTTAAGAAATGATAAAATGAACCAAAGTTGAGGAGTGAAGGGAAAAGGATGGGGAAAAAACAGTATTTCCAAGTCTTTTGATTTCTCTTCTCATGCACCTGAATGACCCCTTAGGAAATTAGCAAAAAATGAATAGTACCAAAACACTTTTTATTTTGAGACAGACTCTCACTCTGTACCCAGGCTAGAGTGCTGTGGTGTCAGCCTACCTCACAGCAACCTCAAACTCCTGGGCTCAAGCAATCCTCCTGCCTCAGCCTCCCAGGTAGCTGGGACTACAGGCACGTGCCACCATGCCCGGCTAATTTTTTATAGATAATTTTAGTTGGCCAATTAATTTCTTCGTATTTTTAGTAGAGACGGGGTCTCGCTCTTGCTCAGGCTGGTCTTAAACTCCTGACCTTGAGTGATCCTCCCGTCTTGGCCTCCCAGAGTGTTAGGATTACAGGCGTGAGCCACCTCGCCCAGTCCCAAAACACTTTTTATATTTTAAATTCTATAATAGATGTTAATACTCAATTATGCTTTTGGGGCTATTTTCTGGAGTGATGAGAAAGAGAGGGAGACAGGGGAGAGGGAGAAAAGAAAAGAGGGGGACAAGGGGACCGGGGGAGTCAGGGAGAGGGAAGCCAGTTTTGTTCACCCACATTATTTTTGAGGTCGGCACGGGACCCGCCCAGCAGGAGGACGCGAGTGCTCTGGGAGTGGCTGTTCTGGCACGCCAGGTGCAGAGCTGTGTTCCCTGCCTTGGAAATGGGCAGAGAGAAGGGAGGACACGTTAGCAACCCGCTCCTGCACGGACCTGCACGCCTTGCAGAGGGGCAATACTTACTCAGGAGGAAAAAAGTCAGTGCTCACGGTCTCTGCCTTCTGATCGGCGGTCCCAGCAGGGGTGCTTCAGAGGCAAGAACATTTAATTTGGAATCCAAACAGGCAGAAGAGTCCTGTATATATCATAAAACCTTGGTTCCAAGTCCTGGCTCTGCCACTTACTAGTTGAAAGCTACCGGGCAAGGCCCTTCAAATGCTCAACTTTGAATTCCTTACCTGTGCAATAGAGCCTTCTTTGAATCCATTCTTGTATTTTTCTTGAAACATCAACATTTGAACTATGGGGAGGAGGGAGAGTGACAAAAACCTACCTAATGGGTACAATGAAGACTATCTGTACAACGGGCATACCTATAGCTGTGACTTAAGCATTACAAAAGTGATCCATGTAACCAAACACATTTGTACCCCCTTAATATTTTGAAATGAAAAAAACTGAACTATGAACAAGGTGCCCCACTTAGCAGGCAATACAGCTGCACCTGTCACTTAGCATACGGATTTGAGACCCTTTTGCTTTTTGGCCTCTACCTTCAATATGCCACATCAGGGCAACAACTAAGAATCAGAATAACATCCACAGCAATCTTGCAGGAAAACTGTATGATGTGAACAGAATTTTTGAGTCTATGAGAGTAGGGCCTACAGGCCACTAATAAACCCTAGAAAAATAACAAGACGACGGGCAGCATGACAGGACATTTCGTGTTGCCTGAGAGCCTGCAAGCACTCAGGAGGTTCCTACACAGCTCACTGTGTGTTCCGCAGAGCGCGGAGACCGGCTCCGGCCCGCAGCTGCCCGGGCTCAGAGCCGCCACTGCTCTTCCCTCGCCTAGTTTACTCCCCGCCGCGTCTCACAGCACTGGCTGCCCACGCCTCAGGATGTTAGGTTCTTGACCTTTCAAAAAGAGAAATGAGTTGTTTTGTTTGTTTTAATGGAGGAAAATTGGATGTGGCCGGTTCACTTACCTCTTCTCATACCCTTGGCTCTAACTGGCCTGGGTGGATCTTTTTCCTACTGTTACCTCCAGGAATGTGGAGCACTGTAAGCCTGAGGGTTTAGTGAGCTCAGTGGTTCTCACCCCTAGGCTGCACCTTAGAATTGCCTGCTTTAAGCCGGTCACAGCTGCAGCCCTTCTAGGGCCTTGGATTCACTGGGCCTTGGGGGTAGGGTCTGGGCTGTCCCAGTTTTACCACTGAAAGTCCTACATTCCCGGAAACCCCTCAGACCAGGGCAAACCGGGACAGTCACTCTAGGCCTGGTCTTCAGGGTTTTTCTTAAGTTTGATTTTTAATTTCTTTCTTTCTTTTTTTTTTTTTTTTGTGTGTGTGTGTGTGTGTGTGTTTTTGCTTAAAGTTTTCTAGGAGGGTGCCAAGTGCGGCCAGGTGGAGAGCCACTGCTAGTTTCGTTCTCAACAAGAGATCTGCCCAAATTTCAAACACTCTGTTCCCAAGTTGTCTCCAAGTTGTCGGCTTTGATGTGGTCATTCAATATGTGCTGAATAAATGAGTGAAATAAATCTGGTGGCCCTAGAAGCATACCAAAGCTAATTTTGCCAATAAGAAAACATCGATTATGTGGAAGAGCATTTGGATCAAGAAAATGGAAGACCATATATCTGGATAAACAAATGGTGGTAGATCCATGTAATGGAATACTACTCAAAAACAAAAAGGAGCCAACTATTCATATATGTAACAACACAAAGGGATCTTAAAAATGTTACGCTAAGAGAAAGTCATCAGACACAAAAGTCAATCACATACTATGTGATTCAATTTACATCTGCAGTCCTCAACCCCTGGGATATGGACCAGTACCAGTCTATGGCCCCTTAGGAAACAGGTCACATCATGGCCTGAGCTTCCCACCCCCATCCTTCCCCATCCCATCCCAGCCGTGGAAAAACTATCTTCCATAAAACCAGCCCCTGGTGCCAAAAAGGTTGGAGACCGCCAATTTATATGACATTTTTGAGAAGGCAAAACATATTTGTGGTTGCCCAGACTGGGAGAGGGTGATTGGGGTAAAGAACTTTTTAGGGTGATGGAAACATTCTATATCTGGTGGTGGTGGTTACACAACCATATACATTTGTCAAAATTCATAGAATATGATTTCATACCTAAGAAAGATGAACTTTATGCATGTAAATTATACTCATAACCTAACATTAAAAAGGTGACCGAGGGTAGATCAATGCAGCAGGCATTTTTTTCCCTGAGTCATGGGTACCAATTTCCCAGGCAGGAGCTGCTATATTTACTGAATAAGAAGGATCTTTCTAAAGGCTTCCCTAGAGGCTGTGGTGGGTGCAGAACGAGAAGTCCCTTCTGAGATGGCACGAGTTACCTGACCTGCCCTTCCCAAGGCTTTCCACAGTATTTTGGGACTCTCCATGGGATGGGAGGCAGTATGGTGGAACAGCAGAGCTGGGCTAGTTTATGGCCCTAATTGCATCACAAATGAATCCTGTCTTGGTCAAGAATTCTACCAGCTCCCAGCTTAAACTTAACTTATCCGTTAATCGGGACCATTTACTTCTCAGAGTTGGTGTAAAAAGAAAATGTAATTACACACCAACTCAGGTTCCAGACCATGTACCACTTTGAAGAAATGGAGCAGTCGCCTGCCAAGCAGTGAGCCACGCACTGCCGAGGTATCACGGCGCATAGCTGGCCTCTTTCCCCCAAGCTTTGACTCACAAGGGAACCCTAAGAAACAACCAGAAAATGACAGCACAAAGCCATGTACAGCGCTGAGAGAAAGCTGCAGAAACATCGTGATGTCCCTTCAGGGAGGGAGAGGCCCTGGGGGCCTGGGTTGGGGTCTACGGGCAGAAACGAGGAGTAGGCTACCCGGAGCGGTGGGCACCAGGAGGAGACGGTGAGCCCCGCTCTGAAAGCGACAGAGGTGCGTGCCAGGAAAGGGGCAGGGAAGAGCTCTGGAGAAGGCCCGGAGAGGCCTCCAGACAGCGTCAGGCTGGGGGCTTTACTGGAAGGTTCTTGAGCAGAGGAAGAGCAGGATGGAGACGGGACTAGACTCCAGCCAGTCGGTCTACATTGAGGCTTCTGGAATAACCGGGGGACACGTAAGAATGAGCATGGAAAGAGAGGGACAGGTGTCAGACTTGAAGGAAACATCCTAAGAAGTGATGAGGGACTGGAGAGGGGCAGAAGCAAGGAAGGAAAGAGGAAGAAAGTTATTACGGCCTCGTCCTTGCGTCCATGACCAGTAGGCTGGCTTGACCATACTCTTCAATGAGCCAACGGAAAAGCGGCCCGCGCTGCCCAGCGGGAGATTGTTCCAGAGGGCGTTCAAAGCCAGCCGGACGCTGCCGATGCCCTCCTTCGCTCCGGGCCCAGGTGTAGACTACCTGGTACACTGAGGAGGTTCAAGCCCCAAGGCCCAGAGGTCACTTCATGGATGGAGCATATTTCTAATAGGTTGGGTTTTGTGTTTGTTTGGTTTTTTGAGACAGAGTCTCACTTGTGTCCGCAGGCTAGAGTGGAGGCCGTGGTGTCAGCCTAGCTCACAGCAACCTCAAACTCCTGGGCTCAAGCAATCCTCCTGCTCAGCGCTGCCGAGTTAGCGTGGGCGACTACAGGCATGTGGCCACCGGGCATGCGGCCGGTAATGTTTTCTATAGATATTAAGTGGCCAATTAATTTGTTTCGTAATCTTTATGAGTAGAAGACGGCGGGGTGTGCTGCACCCTTGCTGTAGGGCTGGTCGCAACTCCGAGCCTCGATCAAAGCCGGCGGCGCCGGCCCGCCTCCCAGAGTGTTGGAGGATTACAGTGGAGCACCCGCGCGCCGCGATTTTTTTGATCAATATCATACAGTTATATTAACACGGACATGTAGTTATATGATGAGTTACACCTTGTCATGTTCTTTATCAAGAGCATTATCTTCAAAATTATGATTTTGAAGTATAATGTATATGCTATTTGATATGATATGAGGATGAAGCAATTTTAGAACCTTCCCGCACATTTGGTGAAGTGGTAACTATTGCTATCATGAACATCCTTGTGGGTAAATTTTTATAAGCATATTTTATTACTTTTTCAGAGATGAGTCCAAGAAGGATAGTTACTGGGCAAAAAGGACCATTTTTAAGGCTCTTGATTTGTTTTGCTAGGTTGCCTCCCAAAGGTGGTTGTTCCCATCACACTTCTCCCAGCAGTATCAGACAGTGAGCCCACTTCCCCGCACTCTTGCTAATATTGGGTTTTAGCATTTTAAAGCTCTTTTGATGATATTTTTAAAAAATCACCTCCCTAGTGAGGGTGTTTTTAGTACTGTCAAAATGATGGGGACCGGTAACCTGATGTAGGTTCCCAGCAGCAGTCGGGGGCCTCTCCCATCAGCAGGGTTTTAGCGCTGTTGGTAGGCTCGTTCCTGACCTAGAACATCCATCTGCTTCTAGCCTTCTCTGCAAGTGAACCTTCTGGGTGGAATAGACCTTGCCAGGTTCCACGCGACCCTCGGTGCTCTCGATCTGCTCACCAAGAGGTGGCTCCCACGGGGAGGGAGACCCACAGCCATCCCCACCTGCGAACAAGGTGTTCTAGTGCCTCCGGGCCTCACCTTGTTCCTGGCAAGCACGTTGGCTCCTGCTTTGACAAGCAGCTTGACTGACTGGCTGAAGCCGTGCCAGGACGCTTCATGCAGGGCCGTGTTCCCGTCCTAAAGAACACACGAGGGAGAAGCACATTACGATGAGAAGAATTAGGCCTTGGGTAATCAATAACCGAGCATCACAGTGGATTTTTACTATACACCGGAGGGACTTTCTCAAGCAGGGCTCCTCATCTGGACCTCCTCCTCATCTGCATTTCTGGAATGCTGAAAATGATTTGAGTAGTCATTTCCCCATTCTCCCAGGAATGGTATATAAAAAGATCCATTCTAGATGCCCAAAAGAGAAATAAATTCATGGCATCCAATGCATGCCTTGGGCATTAGGGCTAAGTCTCTCTGGGAACCCCAGATGAGAAAGACGCCACAAGGCCCTTCCACATTTCCATGAGCTCCTGTTTACAGAAAGTGACATCAGGATGGCATGCTGTCTGTTCCTTGCCACCCCCCTACCCCTCAGGGTCTGCACTGCTCCTGGCACCAGAGAGACCCTGCAGTGACCAGTCAAAGGACGAGTCTAGCTTCACAAGTTCCAGGGGCACGATAGGTAGCTCTTCCCCCTCTTTTTTCACCAAAATTTAATCTCATCCAGCTTAATCCAAAGGCTCAGAGCCCCCAAATGAATAATGAGCAGGACTGAGGAAAAAATGATTTTGGAAGTTAGATAAACAAGTGTCCTCAATGAGTAGCTCTTTAATAAAGAGCAATTAACAAATACAGCCCATATTTGCTTAACTTACTGTTTTTTAAGAAAGAAATATCATTAAGTGTGATGAATTCAGTGGGGTGGGAACTAGGGAGGGAGGAGCATGGCGGGAAGGTAGAGACACCTCCATGCTGTTCCAGGCCAGGGTTCTGGGTGGTCACCCGGGGCCACTTGCGTAGGCGCATTCTGCAAGTGCGCCCAGGCTCTGGCTTCGGCTTTTACTCAAGCACTCCTGTACTCCTGGAAATAGCCATAAATGTGCACAGAAGAGACAAGACCTAATGCTACTGACACCCACAAAGGGAAGTCGAGGGCTCCAAAGGTCAGGGGGCCAGGCCATGCTGAGAATGGTATCAGGTTCCTCCAGCCCCTCCTGGCCGCCTGCACCCCTTGCCTGGGGCAGCGAGCAAGCTGAGCGTGCCACTTCACCTTGTCCTGTCTGTCCAGGGCACAGCCCTCCTGGACGAGCGCCGCGATGATCTCCGTGTTCCCCACCACCGTGGCTCGGTGCAAGGCAGTCTGGTCCCCCTACAGAGTGGCACAAAGGCAGAAATAGTGATCAGCACAAGGACCCCTCCCATTCCCAAACAGAGCAGGTGGTTATCCGCAGAAAGGCCTGGTGACCACAGGCAAGGCGGGCTTCGTGGTCTTGTTAGTAGACAATGCACACTAGCAAAGCAATTTTGTTCGCAAACCTAGGTGGCCCTCGGCCACAGAGCTGACCTCTGAATGAGGGTCAGGCCTTCTCCTGCCACCCCGGGGTGGGAGGGTGATTGTCACAGGTATGAAGAGCAGGTCTGAGGGCCAGACTGCACGTGCTATGCAATTAAACCAGTAATGCCTGGAATCTCAACTACCTTTGCAGGCCCTGAGTTCCTGGCTTGTAGAGTCACTATCCAGCTATGTCACTTAGTGGCACTTGTGATTTGATGACAGGCATGTAATTTGTTCACTGACTTGTACTAACCAAGAGCAATGTAAGGTTTTGCTCTATTTCACCTGAGGACTGAGGGACCACAGCCTATCGCTGCATATTTCTAAGAAGCCTCTTCTGATATTTCATGACAACATCCTCACTGATTTATGCTGCATTCTGCCCCCTTTTCTCTGTGATCAGATTCCTGGGACTGGTGACACTTTTTCTCCTGTAGACGCCAAAGGGAACTTGACTCTTTCCCTAATTGCAGTTGAGAGGAGGACGAAGCACTCCCAGAGGTAAGACTGTCAAGACTGTAACAGGAGAATGTTCTGAAGTCTCTGAGCACATTTGATCTCTGACATTGAACTTGGCAAGTTAAAGTTGAGGCAAATCAATTGGGCCCGTGGGTCCAGGCTGGGAAGGGGAGATGGTGAGGAGTATGGACATTTTCTGGCGGAGAGGAATGAGCACAGGCAAAGGGTTCAGGAGCCCTGGGCTAGGCACAGCCCTAGGAGGGACTTGTCACCTGGCTGGGCCTCAGGTCCCTCACCTGTGAAAGAAGGGGTTGAGGATGTCAAGGATCTCTCCCTCCCTCCTTAGATTCCATGGTTTGGTTGGTAGGAGTTTTATATAAATGAAGTTTCCCCCGGTAGAACCCCAGGGGGACACTCCAGGGCATCCCTGATCCTTAGCCCAAGAGAGGAAAGGGAAACAAAAGAAGACAGAAAACAGATTTTTTTAAAGAGAGATGCACTGCTACCTTTGAACAACCTTAACCCTTTGCACTTGATTGTTTTCTCAATTCCTTTATTCTACTCAGGATTTAATTTTTTAAATATCCCAGATTTTACAAAGCACGGCAGTAGAATAAAAAACTGGAGTTTCTTTTCATACAAACTTATTTGGATTTTTTTTTTTTAAATGTCACACAAGGGTCAAATGGATTTTTTTATATTTCAAATTATTGATACATTCAAAGAATAATTTTAATCTCTACAATTTTTGCTAACTGTGTCAAGTCACACTCGACATCGAAGTGCAAAGGGTTATTAATGAGTTGCTGGTTCTACTTACTAAACCCCCTGTGACCTCTAACAAACCACAATGCACATTAAGATCATTTAATCTGAAAAACAGGTCTAAAGATGGATGGTGGTGATGGTTGCCCAACAATGTGAATGTACCTAACTCCGCTGAACCCACTTACATAGGATTAAGATGGTAAATTTTATGTAGGTTTTATCACATACACAAAAACACAATCCTAATTAAAACTCAAATTTACTTTCTTAAAACTAAAGAAGTCTCCCTTTAAAAATCCACAAGGGGGTCAGCAGTGGCTCTCACCTGTAATCCTAGCACTTTGGGAGGCCAAGGCGGGTGAAGCACTTGAGGCCAAAAGTTTGAGACCAGCCTGAGCAACATAGCAAGACTCCACCTCTATAAAAAATTTTTTTTTTTTAAAATTAGCCAAGCATGGTGGTACATGCCTGTAGTCCTAGCTACTCAGAGCCCAGGAGTTTAAAGATGCAGTGAGCTGATTATGCCACTAGCACTTGAGGCTGGGCAACAGAGCAAGACTGTGTGTGTGTCAAAAATAAACAGATAAATTTTTAAAAAATACAAAAGTGGAAGTGATTTTTTTTTCTCCTTATACTTTTTAATATTTTCCAACTTTTTATATTTAACACATATAACTTTTAGCATCAGGAAAAACCTCTATGTATTAAAAGTCTAATCAGTGACAACACACTAGAAATGGAACTGTCATGACTCAGAATCTTTTCTCACTGTTCATTTGTAGAATTTAAGGGATTTCTGCAGCAATGGGGTCAGGACATGCATCCCCTTTCCATAATTGCATCCACTGCCCTCAGCACGGCCACCACCAACCCTCCCTTCAGAATCTTCAACTATTATTCCCATTATAAATTAGCCTTCTACTGGTTTTCTTCTCATCCATCTTGCCCAACCCCCTATTCAAAGAGGACCCTTGTTGTGGCCAAAAGAAGAACACGGCCACCGGTCAGTGGCTGCAGGAGGTGGGCCGTGCACTGTGTTAGCCACTTCGAACCTCTCAGGGAGCAGCTCCCGATGAGTATACCTGAAACCCAATCAAGTAATCATATGACATACTGCCCAAGTCTTAACTTTTTAATCCTTCCATAAAACTTCCAAGACATCCCATTTCCCTACTAAATGGTGATGAATTTTCCCTAAATGGGCCTCACATGCAATTTATTATGACTGACCTGCTGAGAAAGATGGCATGCCCTTCTTAGCAAGCACCATGGGACTGCATCCCACTCTTTCAGGGTAGTACTAACCTGGTCAAATTTCTAATTAATATTTAATATTCCCACAAACTGCCGGTGCTCTAACTAGCATTCTTTGGACCAATCAGAACCATCTTTTTATATAACAAAACTTACCGTTCTGTGTGTGCTGTTTATAAAGCGTGAGCCACAAGCTCTGAGCATACTCTTGCTGTATGAATTATGGCATGAAGGGCCTTCGCTGGTTAGGGCACAGACTAACCTACGCCTTGGTTTAGGTCAAATGTTTTATCATGTTTCACAAAATCATGTTCCACTAAATCATGATTGAGGCAGCTTTGGAGCCAGCATGGCACCATAATTTATTATTTGCTTTCATCATCAATCTACCGTATTTGCTTCCCTCAAGATAACTTTCCTTTAGTGAAACTTTAGTTCAAGGCAAGCAGCTAAATCTAATTTTCAGTTCAGGTCTCAGGAGAAAATTTCCGGATGGATTATCATGACTCAAAGGGAACTAATGACTTGCGTGAGGTTGTAGTGAGAACATGAATTGTGCTAAGCTGCTGGCACGGGTGTCTCCTGCAAGTCCCTTCCTCTGAGGGGACCACTGGCCATCTCTGGGCCACCACTCCCCCTCCAACTGTGCTCCCTGCAGACAGAGACCCCATTCTGGGCCTGGGTCCCGGCCTCCTCATCAGATAAACACAGCTGTCAGGCCGAGTGCAGCCTTTCCCTACCAGAGCAGCCATCCTTTGCCGGACCACGAGCCTTGCGTACTTACGCCAGCTGGCACGGCTCGGGAGCACTGAGCAACACACTTTCGCTAGCTTTTAAAAACCAGCCAGCCACCTCAGTTACCAAGACAAGAACTGAAGGCTCTGACAGACACGAAACCCATCAACAAAAGGCTGCCTCAGAGCTAATATTCCCCCAAACACAACATAAACAACACAACACCTTGAGACCCTCAGTTGAAATAGGGTCAGTTACCTGTGAATTGACTCTTCCTATAAAACTTACTGTTGAAACAGTTCCTTTTTGATATATGTCACAGAAAAGAACAAGAGGTGTCCTCAATATATACTAATAGACCCAAGTACTAACTTTAACATAATCATTACAATGTGATCTAAATCAATCATGAAATTCTTAAATTTTGTTTTTGTTGTTTATTTGAGACAGAGTCTCACTCTATTGCCCAGGCTAGAGTGCGATGCTGTCATTGTACCTCACAGCAACCTCAAACTCCTGGGCTCAAGCAATCCCCCTGCCTCAGCCTCCCTAGTAGCTCGGACTACGGATGCGAGCCACCATGCCTGCCTAATTTTTCTATATATAGTAGAGATGGGGTCTCACTCTTGCTCAGGCTAGTCTCCAACTCCTGAGCTCAAGCAATCCTCCTACCTCGGCCTCCCAGAGTGCTAGGATTACAGGCGTGAGCCATCATGCTCAGCTGAAGTTCTGAAATTTTGAAAAGAAAATTCTGGGAAAAGTAGAGCTCTGTCAATGGCATTTACCCAATATTTATTCAGTGAGTATTTATTGCGCCCCTACTATGCACCAAGTGTCATGACCTCTAATCCCTCTTTTTATTGATTAGCCTAGCCTAGGATAACTAGCTAATTCACAGGTAGCATGGTTGGGCCAAAATTCAAATGGTCAAGGTTGTCTGTACTCAATCCAAGCTGCTCCCAACCTGTGAAGCCAATTAACCATAAGACAGGCCTCTGTAGGGCAGGAGCTGCCTCAAGGAAGCTGCCTCTTTATGGCATCATCAAGCTAAGTACTTACCACAGTGCCTTAGCCACTCCAGGCACCCAAGAGGTATCTGTTGAATGATTAACTACAAAGAAGGAGGAAAAATGCTGCAGCTGGAATCTTGAAGAGCCACCAACCTTGCAATTTGGCACTTTGATTTAGAACATGCTGACCCATTTGCAAAAGCACATGAACTGCCAGTTCTTAGTGTTTCTGCCACATCAGTGTTTCTCACATTGGGATTCTAAGAGCTTGAGTACTTCTGAGGTCTAAATCTTTGTTTTGAAATGCTGTCATTTTTCTTTCTTACATGGTGAAAAAGAGTGACCATAGTGTTGGCAGATTCCAAGGCCAAGCTCATGGAAGAAACCCCAGTCATGCACGGGTGGAGCGTGCCCCTCTTCAGGAGGAATCACCCCCAGTGGCACAGGCAGACATGCTGTAAGGAAGCTCAAGACAGGGTAGGTGTGCAAAGCAAGGTGCTGACCTCTTTTCCTCTTTCTGATCTTCTAGGGTCCTTCCTATCCTTTCTTCTGTGGTTTTTCTTATTTTTTTCTTCCTTCATGCCTTTTACTGTGGGCACAACGTCCTGGACTATTTCTGAGGTGGGGGCTGTGTGATTGCTCATTGACCAATCAGAGATGGCGTTAGCGCTCCAATGAGAGTTGGCAGGATTGGTGGGAAGCGAGAGAGAATTTGCTCCTGGAGTAGCATATTCTAAAGAACTGGTTTCCACAGGTTGGAATTCATAATAATCCCACTCCAGGCCACTGGAGGTCATTCTTCAACTAATTCTCAGTCCTTACCATGCCATAAAGATCAGTATCTGTAGAATATGAAGTTAGGAGTAAATTCTTCACAACATTAACATTCTCTGTTTCTACCCACCATCCAAGATAGGTTCCTTCTGGAATGATTTTTTTCCAATAATTAATCTCCCAGCTTCTTTAAAGAGCACACATAAAGAGTTTCCTTCCTGAAATTCTCGCATATATTCCAAGCTGATCATCAACAGGCATGGCAAATATATGTAGAAGATAGCCCCCAGTCCTACACTGCAAATGCAGCACTTCAGAACCAGTGACAGTTCTACCTTTTCTATTTCCAACTGTTTTCACACTTTTTATGTTTTAATTTAACTAGGAGAATCAATGTATGTGTTGTCTGTGTAGGGCAAGGAAAAGATGCAAGAAAATAAGTAATTCCAATAAATAAGAATTTGTCCACTCCCGAGGCTGAGCAGGGCAGGGCTGAGTAAATGCCGGCTTACCATCTCTACCATCATCCAGTTTAGTCATCCAACAAGAAATGAATATGAAATTCCAGCAATAAGAAATGAAGAAAAGATTGGAACTGAAGACATTAAGTGCTTGCTTTTTGCCTGTTGACCAGATAACTAGAACTATCTGCATTATCTATGCAGCATGGGGTTTTTATTATTTTTACCTAAAGATGTCTTTTTTGGTAATAACAAACGTGTTTTTTTTTTTTAAAAAGCCTGGTTTTTCTCTATGCCTTTAAAGGTTTTTAAATTGTTTCATATCTGGTAAAGTTGAGATTTTTAAGAACTTCGTTTTTAATTTGCAATAAAAGTTCACAAACTTAATTTTTTGAAAAAAGTCAACAAACTGCAAGCACCTGTTAATAAAGGTCTTAAATAATTTTAAAAAAAAAAGCGTTCCTGTCTAAAAGTACAGTTGGCTTTCCTTCTGCCAACATGTCTCAGTCTTGGCTACCTTGTAAGAACTCCTGTCTGTTACTTCCTGTCTTGCCTAATATAAAGCAGCAGTTCTGGGAAAGTAGCGTGGCTTTTGCTGCATGAGAACACAATGATACCCCGGACCTGAGGCAGGGGTGTTGGGTTAGAATGGGTTAGCATGCCTGACATCGTGGCCTTGCATCGTGGCAAGCAAGGGCCTTAATTATGCAAAGAGAAGAACGGATGCATCCCAACGTGTTTGCACCAGCAACTCAATGTCCTGCCTTTTGTGTAGTCAGAATCTCTTCTCCCTCCTTGTGTTTTTGCTCTTGTCATCTAATGCTATGATACAGTGAGGAATGTTATGATGGCTACAGTGCAAAAAGATATTGTGCCCAAGGTAGAAATCAACAGCTTAAAGCTAAATCAGCATCTTTTGAAAATAACATCCTTGCTGACCCAACAGGTTCCAGATAACCAGAGATTTATGATAGACCCCGGGTGGCCTTCTGCACATACAATAAAACAATGTCATATGTAGTTCTTTTTTTTTTTTTTTGTAAATGCTGTCCTTCTCACTTCTAAATGTGTTTGCCAAGTTTTAGGACATTACACAGAGACTCAAAGAAAACTAGAAGCACTTTAGCAAACTATACTCTAAAGCAAATCTAAGAGTCTCAAATCCTGAACAACATTCTATATATACACAGTTATTACAATTGAATCTGGGAGAGGTTAGGGTAAATGTAAACTCTCCAAGATTCTGAGTTCCTCACAAAAGTTACTGTTTCTTAGAGTCTTACCACATGAATTAGAGTTGAAACCATTTCTGAAAATAGTTTCCAATCATGTTATCATAGGACCTTTTCCTAATACCGTGTTTCCCTGAAAATAAGACCTACCCATAAAATAAGCCCTAGCAGGATTTCTAAGCATTTGCGCAATATAAGCCCTACCCCGAAAATAAGACCTAGTGATGGGCGTGGCTACGCAGCGCATCTGCACAACCCATGCATTTCGCTGCGGAGCGGTAAAGACGACGAGCAGCCCTTCTCATCTGCCCCATGAGAGCTCTATTGCTCAACAGGAGAGATTGGGGCCAATGGTTCTAAAGGAAATAGAGTCGCAAAAAATTCAGGATGGAACTCAGGGTTTGGAGAGTTATGATGATGTTCTAGAAGAAGACAACTTAACTATATTTGAATAAATGTAGATTGTTGTACCATACTTAAAAAAAATAACACATCCCCTGAGAATAGCCCTAGGGTGTCGTCTTGAGGAAAAATATATATAAGACCCTGTCTTTTTTGGGGGGAAACAGGGTAGCTCATTGGAGGACAATTTATATGATCCCTTTTTAAAGAATTCAACTTTTACAAAGACGCAATAGGGCAAAACTCGATGTACTATGTGGGCCGACACCAGCCACTGCTGACTGACACAGGATCGGCCATTGGCCCCAGAGGAGCCAGTCAGAGTCCCTCTCTAGATAATGTGAATGGACAGGGCGGAGTTGGTTGGTAGCCACGTCTCAGTGCAGTATAGTGCCAGAGTAAGCTCTTTCTGGAGGCTTCCTTTTTCTTGGATTCAATGAGATCTGTGTCCTTTTTTTTTTTTCTTTTTGAATAGGTACTTTTCAACTATATGAAACACTGACAAAGAGAAATCAAGGTAAGAAAATGAAAAAAATTAAGTTTTTAAGCCCCACCTTTTCTCCAGTGGTAAATTTGGTAATCAACACACACTTCCAGCAGGCCTTGCCCACACTCACTGGAGTGTGTGTGTTCCTTTATACCAAGACAGGACGCAGGCAAAATGCCCTTAGAAGCTTGAATGATAATAGATAGAAAATGAACCATGATGGCACGATGGGAGAACCACCCCTTACTCCCAAACTTGCTACTGAGAATGGGTCTCGGGGCAGGTCTTCAAGAGGAAGTTTCTGCCACCACGCAGACCAAGATGCAGCCGAAAGGTGCTGGGAGAGCATCTACCACCTCTCTCCTCACAGCTGCTTGCACTTTGTGCTGTGGATCTCGGGCCAGACAAGCTCCCCTGCCAACCCATCCCCTGACGGAATGATGGCTTCTACTCACATCATCTTGGACATCGAGGTCACAGCCAGCCTTCAGCAAGATCTGGACCACAGAAAGATGGCCCTTATTGGCAGCGAGATGCAGGGGGGTCCGGCCATGCTGTTAATGCAAAGCAAACACGGATTTCAGAACGAGACATCAAAAGCACTCTCTTGGTCAGAGGGGCCCAGAGTAAGCCTTGCACTGTGGCTTTAAGGAAGATCACTCCCACCTGCCCCGTTGGTTTGGCAGGAGACTCTTATGGATTTACCAAGAATTCAAGTTTGTCTCTGTTAACCTTGGCTATTAACATTGGAATCAATGACAAAAATATGCTTAAAATGTGAAGATTTCCATTAGTGCATAATCTCCACTCCCCACTCATCAAGCAAGTAGCAAAGTGAAGGGTTTCATGCCTTCTCACTGGTGCTTATTGCAAAGGGACGATAAAGTGACCACAATCAATGTGGACAAGAGGTCGGAGAAGAGCAAAGTGTCAAGTTTATCAGGCCCAGAAAAATCCAGTTAGTAACTCCTTATAACTAAAACTTCCAATCAAACTGATTAGGAAAGCTTCTCCCTCTTCTTAGAAAAACAAATTTTGGAATGAAAAAGTATTTCAGCCATTTGAAAATATAAGTAACATATACCCAGCACATACCCAGCAAACATTTCAAGAAAACATTTGAAAAACCATCGACATTCCTGCGAGCACCACTCAGGCCTCAGCTGCCCTCCATCCCCAGCAGTGACCACGCTCTCAAATTTAACAGTCATCATTCCTTGGCCTGTCGTCGTATTTGTACTACCTGTTTGCAGCCACGAGCAACACACAAGCAACACACAAGCATTGTTTGCTTGTTTCAAACCTTACATAAAGAGTATTAGCCTGTTCGATATTGTTTGGCATTTTTTGTCCAACACCATATTTTTGAGCTTTTCATACTGTCACATGCAGTTCTAGTTTACTTATTCATTATTTGCCCATTCTTTTGCTGAGTGGCACTTGGGTTGTTTCCAGGGGTCAGCAGCACATGTTTGTGCGCACATGTCCTCCTACACCCGAGCAGGGTCATACAGATCATTCCCTTCGCTGGCCTAAGCCTGCGGGCTCCTGACGTACCACACTGAGGGTGACATCCAGAAGAAACACTCTTTTTGGCGTAAATCAACTTCTGTCCAGAGACCTGCCTTACCAAACTCCTAATTTTCCAAAGTCCAAGGAGACACTGTGTTCCCTTTGTTTTGCCCTGCAGGTTTCCCTGTGAAGGAATGTCCAAACATCCTTTCACCTCGGCCACACCCATGCTGAAGCACAGCCCTGAGGACAAGGGTCTCACTTGACCTCATGTCCTGCTTTAAGGATCTTAATTTCTACTCATGAAATGCACTAGGAGGATTCTGGAAAGAAAGAGGTCAGAGCTCACTTTAAAATTAGAATTCTTAATTAAGAACAAAGTTACTCCCGAGAACATGGGCTATAAAAAGCCCTCATAAAAAAAGGCAGTCTCTGAGAGGAGACGAGGAGTGACCTTTCTCTGCTGGTGACAATGCTCGGGCTCGAGCTCCTTGCCCTTGACTCTGCAAATGAAATGTCCACAGCTGATCACAAAGCGCAACATGACCAGGTTCCACTTGCTGAGCCTGGTCCCCAGCTCCGTCTGTCACCACGTGTCCTTATCAAGGACCTCACACCTTGACATTGAATAAGTGACCTTCTCAAAGTTTTCTGAGGCATTCTGACACCCAGGAGAGTCCATCGCAGGTGTGAGGAGAAAGAAGTGTGTGCCATGAGGAAGGTCACAGTGCGGTGGGACGCGAATGCTTCTGAGCAACTGGAAAATACACACCACAATGAGGAGAAGTTTCTGGAAAGGGGATGTGGAGCAAGAAGCCACTGTGTGCTGGGGTCAGGAGAGTCCCGGGGAACATTCTCGTCAGCAACCAGGTATTACTAGTGGGGAAGTTGAGACCCGAGGAGGCTGAAGAGTTTGTCCAAGTGACACAAATAATTGGGAAGCAGGGGAGGAAATCCTGCTGTGGACTGAATGTTTGTGTCCCCCCCAAATTCGTATGTTGAAGCCCTGATCCCCAAGGTGATGGTATTTGGAGACAGGGCCTCTGGGAGGTGACTAGATCATGAGAGGGGAGCCCTCACGTGGGATCAGTGCCCTCACAAGGAGAGACACGAGGGAGCTTACTGCTTCTTTCCACTGTCTGAGGAAACAGCGAGAAGGTAACCATCTACGAACCAGGAAGCAACCCTCGCCAGACACCCAATCTCCTGGCACTCTGACCTTGGGAGTCCCAGCTTCCAGAAACAAATGTCTGTTCAAGCTACCCAGTCTACAGTATCTTGCTAGAGTAGCCCAAAGGCACTAGGACGTGTGCAAACCAGATCACGCCTGGGAAGGCACTTTGGAAACTATAAATTACAAACAAGACAGCCCTGGACAGGAGGCACCTTTCTAATCCAAAGTCAGCAAAGAGTCCCCCTGTGGAGAAATGAAACTGACAACACCTGTGAGACTTGGTGCTTCACCGTCCAAGCTCAGCCTGCTTTCTCACGGTGGACAGGAGTAGCCTCCACTACCCACTTCACAGGCTCGAAATAAGGGTTTGAGGTAACGTCCACCATCAAACATGAGTTCCCTCTCGCTCCAGCTGTCCTCGGCCTCCACCCTTGAGGACACCCCAATCGTTCATTCCTTCTCCTCCTTGACACCCCCACACCTGTGCCTTCGCAAAGACCAGGGAGCTATTTTCAATAGCCAACGGATCTGGATGATGAGTCAGATCTTGGATCACATGGGCAGCCACATGGGCTCTGGTGGGAGGGTCGAGGTTCCTGCCAGCCAGTCCTGATCTGCTCATCCACTGCCATTTTTGAAAAGCAGTCTATGGTTCCCAGTCTGTGTCTCTCTGCTTAGAAGGGCCTTCTCTACCAGCAACCCCCTTCTCCAAACTATGTCTTCTCTGATCCTCCCAGTGCTCCTGGCATGGCTTCCCCACTCCCAACAGCACTTCGGCTCCCTGTTAAGAAACTGCTACATTCTGTTTTGAGCGTCACCTTGGGCGCTGGCTTCTTCCAATGAGGCCATGATCTCCTTGAGGGCAGGGACTGAGCCTCCATAAATGATGAGTTGACTCTGGGGTGGCAGGAGGCCTACCAAAGAGGCTCCAGCATTCCTCAAGCACAGGACAGGGACCTGGAGCAGATTCCACAGTCCCAGGCTTGTCCTCAGGGAAATAAATGGAGCGCGTAGGGTGCAGACATCCTGGGGGCTTGAGGAGCCACGATAGTGACATAGGGGCTTCTCTGAGGAGGGTCTGTGTCCCCCTCACATGCGTGGCTCCTTTTCTGGCATCTGGTAGAAGTACAGCAATAGCAAAGGCTATGTTTCCTACACAATCTAGAGCTGCCCACTCCTGTCCCCGGGGCTTTCCGAGCATAAGACCAACTCTCTTTCATACATACATAAACACACACACACACACACACACACACACACACACACACACACGCCAAAGTAGAAAAATAAGAGAAGCAGAAATGTACTTGGATTTCCAGAACATTCTGCAGTGAAAAGCAACAAAAGTAGAGTCCCTCAGAGGTGGGCTGGCACACAGGGACACCCCCAGGCCATGCCTGACTTCTGGGAAAGCCTGGAAGCCCCCTAAGGGTGAGGGAAAAAATAAAAACTGACTCTGGGAGGCATCTTTGAATGACTTAAGATTTAAGGATGCAACTGTTCTCATATCCATGCCCCTAGGACTGGCCCACGGAAGAAACAGGAACAGGAGAAAAGACTACGTAATTCGTATGATAAGAGGAAAAGGTTTTGAAGCATCAGTTTGCCCTGAGTTCTACCCCAGTTATCCTCAAAGACCAGTTCAGCCCAACTCAACCCCAGCCCTTAGTGCGCCCAGGGGGATCAATAATAATGAGGACAACAGTGAGGGAGAGCAGCAGCTGACATTTACTGGACGCTTGGTCCACTGACTGTGTGAGAGGTACTATCTTAAGAATTGTACATGTAAAGGCCGGGCATGGTAGCTCACACCTGTAGTCCAGCACTTTGAGAGGCTGAGGTGGGAGGATTGCTCAAGCTCAGGAGTTTGAGACCAGCCCAGGTAATGTGTCAAGATCCCATCTCTACAAAAAATTTTAAAAACTAGCTGGGCATGGTGTTAGGCACCTGTAGTCCCAGCTACTTGGGAGACTGAGGTAGGAACATCACTTGATCCCAGGAGTTCATTGGAGGCTGCAGTGAGCTGTGATGAAGCCACTGTACTCCAGCCTGGGTGACAGAGCAAGACCCTGTATACAGGAAAAAAAAAAAAGAATAGTACGTGTATTAGCTTATTCTCACCTCAACCACTCTATAAGGTAGATACTATTATTAAGCCCATTTTGTAGATGGGGAAACTGAGGCACAGAGAGACTCTGTCACTTGTTCTATGTCACACAGGTAATTGGAGTCTGGATTTACCCCTCAAGCCATCTGACCTTGCCCTGGTTGTGCAGTGGAGTGAGGGTCTCCCCTGGCATAGGGGATTTTATGTCTCACTCTCAGGAAGCTTCTGAGTTCTTGGGTGTTATATACCAGCCTAGCCACTGACCTCTGGGGTTACTTAAAAATAACCTGGTTTCCTTAAAATCTGAAAGGCAAGGAGAGAAGTTTTCTGTTTTCTCTGTACATCTGAATCACCCAGGGAGGTTGGTCTGTTTGTCTATCTGTACCGATGCCTGAGCCCCTCTGATCAACTCTCTGTGGTGGGGCCCAGGTGTCGGTTTTTATACAGCCTCCCCAGCTAACCCCAATGTGTGGCTGGGCTGAGAACCACGGGATGGGATGAGATGAGGAGGGGCCGGGATAGCCCCTCCCCCAGCAGCTACAGGCCCTCAGGCTAAACCTGCCCTGCCGGGCCTGCCCAGGCAAGAGCCTTGCCTCCATTACATTCTTCATGATGCTCTCTTCCCCACCTGTCAGTACAAAGCACCTAAAACACTGCATTGTCACAACCCGGAGCGTCCCATATCTTTAAAGAATACATAGAAGCAATATAGTGGCATTACAAAACACCTGGAAAGTAAAAGAAAATCACTTATGATTCTATAACCCAGTATGACCATCATCATTTTTATCTAATCTGTTTCAGTGCATCTCCTCTATTGATACTTTTGCACAGTTATATTCACAGGTAACATAAAAACATCTTGCTTTTTTGCAATAATATTATGCCCTATGCCAATGGTTCTTAAACTTTATTGGGCAGCAGAATCTCAGGAGAGCTTGTTAAAGACAGATTGTTGGGTCCCATTTCCAGAGTTTCTGTGGGTCTGGGGTGGAGCCTAAGAATCTGCATTTCTAACAAGCTTCTAGGAGAGAGAGACACTGCTAGGGGACCACACTTTGAGAGCTACTGACTGAGACCACTGGTTTTCAACCCTTTAAAAAATTTTAAAAAACAAAAAACTCCATTCCCAACTTTACCCCCAAAGAGCTGGATTCCATCATTCTAGGATGGGTGTCTGATGTATGTGTTAAGGTTCCAGGTGACCCTAATGTGCAGCCAGAGGTTATGAACCACTGCGTTGGACCCTTTGCAGGTGCTGGTTCCTCCAAGTGGCCCTGGTGTCAGGATGTGCCATCTGCAGTGCCCCCTCCCCCCGGCCCCCCATGCTTTTCCCTTTGATCCAACCAGGGAGAGGCAGAGACTCAGGGCCTGGTTCACTTCCAGGGAACTGAAAGGGCCTTGAGATGTTGCCAAGCAACCACCACAAAGAAGTGGCCCCACTGTCAACAGCTCTGGAGCACTGGCCTGGGATGATGATTTGTTCAGGCAGGTTGAGCCCTGTGGGTCCCGACTGCAGCAGAACTGCCACATGGGAACATCAGAGCAACTCCCATCCCAACAGGCAGCCCATAAATTACACTAACAGGTGATCATAAACGATGCACAGGACCAAACAGTCTCTGCTCGGTTTTGAAGAGGCCAACTCCCAGGTAGGGGTGGGAGCATTCCAAGAGGAGGATTCCTATTAAGATAATGATCTCCCACCAAAGAGGAGGGATGACAAGGGAGCCCAGGCAAAGGTAATCAGCTTAAAATAAACCTTGAAAGGAAGTGGAGGTGTTTCTGCTCCCAGCATGTGTTCAGATACAGGCTTACGGGGCTTGCTGGACCTCTTTCCCGGCAGACCAAGGTCTTTACATCGGAGAGACCTCCTTAGCAGGAGCCAGGCCTGGGGGCCGGGGAGGAGATCAGAGGTCATTTGAGAACGACAACATACACAAACAAGCCAGGAATGACACTGCCCTGCCAGACTCCATGGGGCCTACAGCCTGGACCCTCATAATTCCAAGCTGCACAGACAGAGGCTGGGTCATAGCTCCTCCCTAATGCTTCAGCATCTTGGATCTCACTAACTCACGCCTGTAATCCTAGCATTCTGGGAGGCCGAGGCGGGCAGGTTGCTCAAGGTCAGGAGTTCAAAACCAGCCTGAGTAAAAGCGAGACCCCATCTCTACTAAAAATAGAAATTGGTCAACTAAAAATATATAGAAAAAATTAGCTGGCATAATGGTGCATGCCTGTAGTCCCAGCTACTCGGGAGGCTGAGGCAGAAGGATTGCTTGAGCCCAGGAGTTTGAGGTTGCTGTGAGCTAGCTAGGCTGATGCCACGGCACTCTAGCCAGAGCAACAGAGTGAGACTCTGTCTCAAAAACAAAGGGCAGGCCCTTCAGACCCACAACCCCTGCCTCGTGAATGACAGGTCTGAGTGCACCTGAAAACTGAGAAGGAAGGGTGCTGGGCTTAGCTCCTCCTGAAATGCTATCCTTGTCCAATGATATTTTTAATGACAGGGTCACAGAGAGACCCCGGGCAGAAGTCAAAGGAGAAAGGCAGAAACTCTGAAAGAAGGGGTTGGGGGAGGTTGGATTCTTCATTAACTCGAAGAAACAATTTAACCATCTCAGCTGGGGGTTGTAAGGAGGAGGGCAGGTGAGTAGATGTGACCTACACAACTGGGAAATGGTGTAACAGGAAGAATTCAGGGTAAATTAGTGTAGTAATTTCATAATGCCAAAGCTTCCTTTCTTGAGGAGACTGTGAGAAATACAATAGATCAGGGTCTTGCAGGTTTTTTTGTTTTTTGTGGTTTTTTTGAGACAAGTAATGCCTCTCTCTGTTATCTGTTGCATTAAGGAAACAGAGAAGTAGTCAGAGGCCAGCGATTTATAATGCTAGTAAAATTAAGAGTGGCACATATTTTTAAAATATTCAGATTGCAAAGGGTCTTTGATAGTTTAATTTGAAAGAGAATAATAAGGCTAACAGTGAAATGATTTCTGAAGATCTCAAATCTTGTTTGTGAAGGAGCTGCAGTTGCTGGACTCTTGGTTGCTCGGCCCCTTGTTTGGGTTTTAAATGGTAGAAGACCCTTCACCAACTTTCCTAAGCCCCCTAAGGAGCCTCTTCTCATAGACAATATTCTCTGAGAGCTTCAAAGGCCTGGACTGATGTGGATTTGGGACAGAAAACTTTAAGTCCTTCTCAGGCTTATGATTTGATGAAGACATTCAGGAAAAAAAACCTGGGGAAGAAAAGATGCCATTGATCAAAGGAAAATAAGAAAATAAAACTTTACATTTTAAAATATATAGTTTAAAAAGCTTTCAGAACTTTCTTTCCTTGTTGGAAATTTGTTTTGTCTACTGGCATTTTAATCAGACAGCAGGTGACAAGCAGCAGCAAGGGAGTAAATTCCTTGGCTGTCAGAAATCAGGATCCAACACAACCTCAGATTGGAAAAATAGGATGATATTAAAAAGATGAAATGCAAAGGGGCAGATGGTAATTCCTGCACTGGGGCCAACAGTCCAATCAACACAAGGATATGGGGATGGGCTGTCAAATAGCAATAATCACAAATAATTTGGAGAGGTGATTTGAAATGTGTGTTGTTAGAAATGAATTATTCTTAATGATTAGGCTTGACTAATAAGAGAATTTCTTTTGATGTGACCCAGTAACTGCCACGGCTGGGCTTGCTTCCAGAAAGGTTCACCAGCAAGAAGGACCAAAATATTTCAAGCAACTTAATCAGCTGCTCCTATAGTGCACTGTCCCTCAGTGATAAGGCTTCAGTTAATAGCCCCCACACCCTTCACAGGTAACTGCTTAGACTACATTTTCAATGGGTTGACAAATTGACAGAACCCATGGTGGTTCAATGCATGACTATGGTTGGAAGATAACGAATGCCCTTCTCTATTTCCTAGTTTCTAATAAAAACCAGAAAATAAGAATGACTGCCTTTTCACAGCAGCTATTAACATTATCATGAGTTTTTCTCCCTTAATTTGTTGGTACAACAAATTATGAAACCATCCTTGCATTCCTGGAACAAACCCACTTGTTCACACTGTATTTTTCTTCTGATAAATGCTGTATTCTATTAGGTAATGTTATTAAGAATTTTTGTGTCAATATTCATCATTGAAATTAGTCTATGGTTCTTGTTCTTTCGTATTTATATTTATCTGGTTTTGGTATTAATGTTGGGCTGGCTTCATAAAACAAATACAGCTTTGCATTTTGTTCTGTGCTTTACAATAGTTTAAACAACATTGGCATTTTGTTGCTGTTGTTAAAACATAAAACAAAGATGTGAAACCCTTTGGCCCTAGTGATTTTTTTTAAAGGTTGCATCTTTAATCATGTTTCCAATATTTTCTATGGTAGACTATTTAAACTTTCTGCTTCTTCTTGGGCCATTTTGTGTATGATTTTTTTTTTATTGTGGTAAAATATGCATAACAAAAATTACAATTATAACCATTTTTAAGTGTACAATTCAGCAACATGTTTATACTGTTATACAACCATCACCACCATCCATCCCTAGAACACTTTTTTGGATTCAATACCTTTTCATTCTTCTTGCCTTATTGCAGTGGCTAGAGTTTCCAGTACTATACTGAAGGAGAGTGGTAAGAGCAGACATCCCTGCCTTGCTCCTATCTCAGCAGGAAAGTGTTCAGTCTCTCACCATTAAGCATGATGTTAGCGGTAGGTTTTTTTGTAGTTGCTTCTTATCCTGTTGAGAAAGTTCCCCTCAATTTCAGCTTTGCTGAGAGTTCTTATCACTAATTAGAGTTGGATTTTTGTCAAATTCTTTTTCTTGCATCTGTTAATATCATCATATAAATTTTCTTCTTTAGCCTGTTATGGACAAATGTTTGTCTCTCTCCAAATTTCGTATGTTGAAGCCTTAACCCACAATGTGATGGTATTTGGAGATGGGGGCCTTTGGGAGGTAACTGGGTTTAGATAAGGAAATGAGGGTGGGGCCCTCATGATGGAATTAGTGTACTTGTAAAGAAGAGAGACTAGAGTCTCCTTTCTTTCCTTCTTTCTATCTGCTGTGTGAGAACACAGAGAAGCCAGCCATCTGCAAACCAGGAAAAGAGCCCTCAACACCAGGAACTAACTCTGCTGACTCCTTGTGATCTTGGTCTTCCCATCCCCCAGAACTGTGAGAAATAAATGTCTTTTGTTTAAGCCACCCAGTATGTGGTATTTTGTTTTGGCAGCCTGAGCTAAGACACTTGTGGATATGGTGGATTACACTGATTAATGTTGAACCAGCCTGGCATACTTGGAAGGAATTTCATGTGATCATGGTGTATAATTCTTCTTAAACATTGCTCAATTCATGGGAGACATGAGCTAACAGCAGACAAGGTACAATTGCTACCTACTCACTCATGGACCCTAAATCATTGGTTTAGAACAACCTAAACATATAGCAGCCAACTCTCACTGCAAACAAAACAACAGGCCTGCTAATAAATGATGTACAGTCTCCAAACAAGTTCCTGGCTTAATTTATTTTCAGAGACCTAAGTCATTAAAGCCTAAGAGGAAGAAAAAAGAAGGAAACTATGAAGAGGGCCTCAGAGGACTCACCACCAGACCACCTGCACTGAGCAGAGGCCCCAGTGGGCTCCTTTCCTCTTTGGCTTCTCCCTTCCACAGCACTCCCAGTGTGTGGGTGCAGAGACTTCGATGCTCTGGAAGTCTTATAACATGCTGATTACTGGCCTGGAAACCAGTAATTCTCCAGCGCATTTTGTTTGGAAAGATACAGGTATTTAGGGAGTATTTTTAAATGATGACACCCAGCTGTGCCACAACATATAATGTCTCATCTAGAGTAGTTAAGACCTACCAAATTTATGATTTTAGGGAGTTTTACTGGCACATTAATCTGGGTTATAAAACTCTCGGCTGTGTAGTTAGAGACTTTGCTTTTAGGTGCTTAAGCACAGATAGGACACAAGAGCACAGACAGACCATGCAGCAGGGCATGCCGGATGGTTTGCGGACTGCACGCTCAGGTGCTGCTGGGCCTCCCCCGCCGGCCCAGGGCTCAGGAAAGAGGGGAGGGCAAACAGGGCCTGGCTGCTCCTCCACTGAGTACAGTGTAGACAAACTGGGCCTCCACAGAGGGCAGAGGGAACAAGAACAGGCACTGCTGAGCAAGGAAACACTCCCAGGACTTCCCTATTGGCAGTGAGGGGGCAGGAGAGGGCACCTAAGAAACTCCAATTCCCAGACTCTTTAGCAGCAGCCTTAACAGCCTCTCCTGAGATGCTTGAGTCAGCTTTGGGGGTCCAGTCCTGAAATTTTGAGACCTGTTCTCCTCAACTGCGGCATGTCCCCCCACAGGCCCAGGCAGGGCTCGTGCCTAACCCACCACACTGGTTCTTCCATTGATGTGGAAAATGTCGGGCGCTGGGACACGGCCGCTTGCCACCTCCCTGTGGTTCCATATCTCCGGGGGCCAGGGCTGTGCGAGGCTGGTTAGAGGCACGCTGCTGGGGCCGGGCCCAAGGCTCACAGCAACCCTGGACACTCGTGTGCCGCCAGGACTCCGTGCGCCGGCCTGTTTCCGGCAACGCTGCTTGTGTGATCCTGATTGGGTAACTTTTGAATCCCACTGTTTTTGGTTGGATGTTAAGGCCTGTTGCTGATTGGATGTTAAAGCTTGTAGTTGATTGGACGCTTCTTGAGCCCTACCAAGGATATAAAAGCAGGGGCAGTAAGGGCAGGAAGGGGGAGAACATCGAAAGAACATTGGGAGAACATCTAAAGACACAAAGAGAGCTGTAACTCTAGGTGTGCTGAGCCTGCTGTAGAAGAATAAAGGCTGTTCTCTGACTCTTCGTGTGCCGCTCGGTTCTTTCCCCGGTCAACCGAATAAGAGCTGTAACAAGAGCTGTAACACTAGCTGTATACATTGCCGCAACACCGTCACCCCTCCCAATCTGAGGGGCCCCCTTGCCTTCCTCCAAAGAGTATCTCCTGGGGGCATCTACCTACCTTTGCTAGGACATGAGTCCACATAGGTGCCTGCCTCTTTAGCATCCTTGTCACAGTAAGTTGACCTTTTATTCTTTTTTTTTGAGACAGTCTCACTCTGTTGCCCAGGCTAGAGTGGCTCGCAGCATCCTCAAACTCCTGGGCTCAAGCGATTCTCCCTGCCTCAGCCTCCCGAGTAGCTGGGTCTACAGGCATGTGCCAGTAAATTGACTCTTAAGGCGACCTTCCTGTTACTGACCCAATAATTTCTCACAGACAAGCCACACAACAATTAACAACAGCATGCATTTACATTCCAAGTTGAGATATTTATTTCCTACTAATAAACTTGGTTTTAGTTTGAATTATGGCGTTTAGAATATCAATATTTCATGGCAGTTGACAAAGAGCACCACGGCTTCCAGATGTCTGACCAGCTTGGCCCAATGCTCAATAGACAGTGCTGTCTTATCCCACACGAAGACTCAGACTTCAGGAGGAACTACCCAGCTGGCTGCTGCTGAAAAGTCCCCAAGCCCAGCCCACACCCCGCACCAATTACATCAGATCCTCTGGGCCTGGACATCACGCAGTTAACACTGAGAACCACTGACCCAAAGGAACTTCTGTGCCTGAGGACAATTGACTCAAGTGGGGAAACAGTCTTTATAATAACAACTACCATCCACTGAGCTCTTTCTACATCCTTAATTACTGGGATTACTTCATTTAATCCTCACAAATCCCTGAGGTAGGTGTTGCTATACCAATTTCACAGACAGGAAATAAAAGCTCAAGGCAGCTAGTAACTTGTCCAGGGTCACAGAGATGGTAAAAGGATTCACTGCCTCTACTCTTGGGAAGGAAAAATTGTGACAGGCTTTAGAAAGAGTGACAAATTCATAGAGACAGAAAGTGGAATAGTGGTTGCCAGGAGCAGCAGGGAGCGGGAAATGGATGGCACAATGTGAATGTACATAATGCCACTGAATTGGATACTTAAAAATGGTTAAAATGGCAACTTTTATGTTGTGTGTATTTTATCACAATTTTTCAAATTAAAATTAGAATTAAAAACAGCAAGACATAACTAAGTATCCTGTCTAGAGGACCTTAATGCAGATGTTTTCATCATCTCTGAGCTGTTTTTTTTGTTTTTTTTTGAGACAGAGTCTCACTTTGTTGTCCAGGCTAGAGTGAGTGCCGTGGCGTCAGCCTAGCTCACAGCAACCTCAAATCCGGGCTCCAAGCAATCCATGCTGCCTAGCCTCTGCGCGATAGCTGGGACTACAGGCATGCGCCACCATGCCCGGCTCATTTTTTCGTATATATTATTAGTTGGCCAATTAATTTCTTTTATTTATAGTAGAGATGGGGTCTTACTCTTGCTCAGGCTGGGTTTCGAACTCCTTGACCTCAAGCAATCTGCCTGCTCTGCCTCCCAGAGTGCTAGGATTACAGGTGTGAGCCACCTCGCCCGGCCTATTCTTTTGGAAATCTTATCGAGAGGCAAACAGGACTTGCTTATGCTCATCAGGGAACTATTCTTAAAGGCTTTCTACACCCTCCCACTCCGATGAGGCATGTACTATTATCACTCCTCTCTACAGGATGTGACGCCAGGAAGCCGAGCTTAAACAACTTGTGGAGTCCACACTGCTGGAACAGGACCAAGAATCAAACTGGGCTGCTGGCCTTGTGAGCTGGCACCTTCCCACCTCCACGCTATCTTCCTCCCCTGTCGCATACCCTACGTTATTCCTTATTTCTGTCACGTGGATTTTGTATCATCTGCACATGTCCACGGCTCCTGCGCTCTCTGCCCGCACCACTCCGCATGAGAGCTTCGGGGCTGGGCTCTCTATGAACACGCTCCGGGAGCCCGTGGTTTGTACTCCCTTATCATCTAAATCGCTCACTTCAATACTGCAGGGTAGCGGTTGGAATCAAACAGATTTGGATAAACATTAATTTTATGAATGAAACTACATTTTTTTCTTCTTAACCAAAGTGTTCATCAATAACCTGTGTCTGGTTACTGTTGGAGACAACAAGAACCGCAGTGAAAACCCTAAGGACCAGTCCTAAAAGTCTGGAGGAAACATAACTCCGCCCGAGGGATTTCTAGAGGCTCCAACTTCTAACTCTACCTCAGTACTTACCTTACCATTAAGCAGCAAAACAAAGGGTTTATCCAGGTGACATTCAGGCGGCAAAATCCAAGCTCATGTGGAAGATGTTTCAACTAAAATAAGGGACTGAGGACAGCATTACAGCTTCGTTTATAAAACCAAGGCTGTCTTGCAAAGAAAAACAAATCCCATTTTTCTGTTTTAATATCAAATATCTCAAGCACTACCAGTGGGGGCAACTAGAAAGGCACAAAGTCAAGAGAAAAAATTAGGAGGCAGGACAAGCTGCACTGGGGCAGCAAGAGGAAGTATAAACGGAGGGATGTCAAGGACCCAAAAGGGGAAGGATGGCTTTGGGCTTCTGCAGGGGGGGCTGTGCAGACGGGCTGCCAACCACCCACACAGAAGCCGTGGGGGCACGGTGGGCACCTGGAGGGGCATGCAGGCTCCCATTCAGGCTTGAAGGGCCTGTGGATCATGCATGTCAAGGTGCCCCTGAGCGGAACTGGACACGTGGCCCGAAGACAGGGCCGAGCGAGAGGGAGACATGTGACCAACGTGGAGCTGGCAAAGCCAAGGTGGGCGTCCAGAAGGGAACAGACGAGTGCTGAAGGCCCCGGGGACGGTCAGCTTTAGAGGCAGGAAGAGCAAAGGGAGCAAACAGAAAAAGCGCCTTGGGAAGGAAAACCAAGAGGCAGGGCCAAGGGTAGCTTTGAGCAGAGAAGCACAGGCAATGACCTCAAATTCCAGCCTGTCTCACCAATGGGATGTCAGCTCCACCAAGGGCCAAGATTTTTTTTTATTCTGTCTTGTTCACTGGTACAAAGCAAATGCTCAAAAGATATTGGCTGGATGAGGGAAGTTGTTCTAAGAACTCTTTTACAGAGTTATTGGATAGTAGAGGAAACGTTTAACAATAAGTTTAAATCAAATTAAACAAATGGGCCGGGCGCAGTGGCTCACGCTTGTAATCCTAGCACTCTGGGAGGCCGAGGCGGGCGGATCGCTCAAGGTCAGGAGTTCAAAACCAGCCTGAGCGAGACCCCATCTCTACTATAAAAATAGAAATTAATTGGCCAA